ATCTATTGAGTTTGTTTCAAAATTATATGCTATGGTAACTTCTGAAGGTAATGGATGCCCTTCCGCAGTAAGTTGTTCTCTCACTACCGTTTGAAGCTTTGCGTTAAAAACTTTCATGTCATCTCCTGTATCTAAGTTCACATACACAGCAACAGGAAAACTATCTTGCTTCTTTGTTTCATCATTATACCTCAAAACATTAAAGTTCTTCAATAATATTGTTCTTCCTGCTGGAATACTTCGAACCTGTCTGATTTCAATAGCTTTCTCACCTCCTACATACTCTACCCAGTGTCTTGGATATTCATAAGTATACTGACTTTCTTGAATTTTGGTAGGTTTCATCATAACGTGTTCATAGTATATCTTTATACTCTTGTCAGTTAGACTCGGTGCTATGTTCTGAATATTTCTGACTTGCATTTTTAATGGAGATAAAATGAAGCATTTAATACATGATGTAGATGAAGACATGAATGAAAGCAGTGAAAACTTAACATTCTCTCATTCTTCCTTTCAGTAAGGACTATGAGTTCTGTTCAAATGGTGTGTATTTCTATTGTGGAAAGATGGGTTCAGGTAAGACATTTAACCTCATTCGTCATATACTCATAACAGAGCGTTTAGGAAACGACTCTTACTATGACCAAATCATTATATCAGCAACTTCAGACTCTATGGACTCAACAGCGAAAACATTTATGTCAAAAGTTCAAGCCTCTGTCGTTAAAGTTCCAGACAGTGAACTCATTGAATTTCTTCAACGTTACATTCGACGTAAGAGGAAATATTATGCCATCGTAGAATTCATACAGTCAGGAATGCAAAAGACTTCTGAGGAGATGGAAAGAATTATTGACAAACACCACTTACGTCAGTACTCAGGAGTTTACGATATGAAACGACTGACAAACTACATTCTATCAAAACTTTCAAAATACCCCTTCAAAAAATATCCTCAAACACTTTATGTTTGTGACGACTTCGCTGGAAAAGGTTTAGTGTCAAAGCCTGACTCACCATTAGCTAACATCATAACTAAAGTCAGACATTACCACTTAACTGTAGCAATACTTATGCAAACATGGAGGTTTTTAGCTTTAAACATAAAACGTCTCATAACTGACTTCGTTATCTTTCAAGGTTTCTCACGCTATGACATTGAACTCATTTGGAAACAGTCAGGTATAACATTACCTTTTGAAGAAATTTGGGAAGCATATAAGTCTCTCATCTCTCCTCGTTCATACCTTGAGATTCATATCATGACTAATACCATTAAAGTCAAAAATATTCCATGGGAACGACCAACATTGTTTTAAAGCTTAACCTTCAATTGACTGATGGTAAACAAATTCCATGCATCTCTGTCGCCATTTCTGTTAATATTTTTGCTGTCATTCATATCATCCACTTCCCCATCCGTTAGCTTTTGAGGATATGGTTAGAATAGCTGTTCTTAAATGAAGGCTTTTCACCTTTGAGAGCATAAACTCTATAACTTTCTGCATACTTTATGTTTGAACCTCCTGAGCCATCATTGACATAAATTTTTATAGGCTTCCACCCTTTGTTCATGTTCCTGCTTCTTCCCTTAGCTCTTTTGTTCAGTAGTTCTACATCTTTATACACAGCACCTGTCTCAGTGAATTCAACAATATTTTCATTCGTTAGCTTTACATTCAAACCCTTGTCGAGTATATTGTTCATTTCATACATATAAAAGGTTTTTATTCTATATGAAATGAGAAGCAAATCCATCTTAGCTGGTGCCGTTAATGTTCCAATTGAACCAACATCAAATGTTGACTCACGAACGACAAACAATATTGTCATAAAGAACTATAGTTCGGAGTGTTTGAAAGAAAAAGAACCAGAACTTAAGTCGGTGAATTTAAACTCAGCTTCAAACGCTAACGCTACATCAGATGTTAAGTTAGAGTATCCACCACTGGACCAAATTCTTTCAAGAGAAGCCAACGACAACCCTTACACAAATGTTCAAACAAATCCTTCAGATAACGTAGACCATTACCTTCTTCAGTTATACCAAACAATTTTACTCAAAGACGATAAGAAGCTTTTGACAAATCTTATAAGCAAGAACCAAATAATTCTAACAAAGGAGGACCTTGAAAATGTTATCTCACGAATAACAGGAAAGCAATGTGTCATTGACTATCTCGACCCTGAAATCGAATGCTGTGGTCAAACTCCACTATTCATGAAAATAGGTAACATCCGCATCATTGAAACACCAGGAACTACAGGAGTTGAGTTTAAGTATAAATATTCGAACGAGTATACAAAACTTTCAACAGAATATAAACTTTGCTTGAAATATGTTTTAGTAAATTAAAGCAATTTGTAATATCTATCCAAAACTTCTTCAACAGTATCGAACTCATCTTCATAATGCAAACCTAATCTTATTGACTTGGTGCAGTTTTCACTAACACAATATTTTTCTGTTCTCTTGACTGACATAACTAACTCATTTGTTTCATCAAACAGCAACAACCAAAGTTCATGACCTAATACATAACATTCATACTTTATATTTTTAGCTCTGAGTTCTCTTGTAAGCTGTTGCATTTAATATTTTCTAAAAAGTCAACTTCAACAGTCATTCGCACTGGTGCCTTCAGTTCTACAGGCTCTCCTTGAAAGTCAACAAGTCTGAATTGCATGTCTTTCAAATTATGAGGACTAATGCGAACCCATTTACCTAAATGAGTTGCTATGACAGGAACATTTGGAATGAACATTGAATTTACTGCATAACAGAAAGACTTATATTCTACTGAACCTTTACTATTAACTCCTGAAATACCTGTGACATTAGCTATTTTTGACTCAATGTACAAACAATTGCCATAACATACGTATGGAACAGATTTCATCTCAATCGTTTTGTCAACACTTTTCAAAGGAAATGTCATATGGTATGCTCCCAGAAGCAATTGAACTCTATGACTCATTCTTGGTATCTTGAACTCTTTCTTGCTACTGAACTTCAATGTTCCCTCAGAAGAGAGTTCGACATCTATGTTGTCAATAGTTTCTTCATTTATGAGAGTATTTATGACTCCAGCAATTTTATCTATTCTATACCCAGCTCTGTTAGGAAATGTTATAACACTTCTTTTGTCATCTATTTCAATCTCTATGAAATCTGTTTCATCTGTTATGACAAAAGTTGCGATAGTATTGAAGTCAACAACTCTGAAAGCAAGTGCTTCATTCTGAAGTCCTAAGTTTGTTTGTAGCTTTACTGTCCGGTATTCGTTTGGGTCTGTACTTTGCAAATAGAACAACATTTTATTCTCATTAAAATATGACTATAGCTGCATATGCGTATGAAACAAATGAAGCAAGAAGAGCACATGAACTAGTAAACGAAAACTCAACTTTAACAGTGAAGGCAATGATTTAGTCATTGACGATGGAAAAACTAAAAAAGTCATTGATTTCGATACTTTTAACACTTATGACCCATTCATTACAATAAGCAAGGTTCCATCATAAATGATGGAACGGTGCAATATATAAATTCAACAGTAGATGCCTCATTAGTGAAAGTATTAAATGTTCTCATTGAATTGTTAAAGAGCTTTCGATTTGACGACAACATTAAATGCTTAAAGAATTTAGTCATGAATGAGAAACAAATTCTTGGCGTTGCTGGTAACAGTAATGATGTACACCTTATGACATTAGAATATTATAACGAACATAAAGATGAACTGAAAGGAGAGAAGGGTGACACCGGACCTCAAGGACCTCAAGGACCACAAGGAATACAAGGAATACAAGGAATACAAGGACCTCAAGGCGAGAACGGTTTGGATGGTGTAGATGGAAAGGATGGAAAAACTGCTAAATCATGGATATGGAACCTTATAAATACTGGTTTAACAGCTGCTTCATATGGAGTTCTTCAATACCAAATCGGAAAGATATGGGCGGTACTTGGTGAAGAAGTTTTAAATGACGTTAAAAATGCTTTGAACTTCATTTCAAATGGTTCGGATACTATTAAAACTTTATCTGGTTGGATGCAAGAAACAAGGAGTCAAATAGATACTGTAAGACGTATAGCAAACAATGCACGTACGGGATTGGATACTTTACGAGAAGCACAAAATACACTAAAGGAAGCAAATGATATTCTTGGCTCAGTATCAGACATGCATGAAGATTGGCTTAAAGGTATTGACAAATCTTTAAAAAATCACAGTCAGTCTATTGCTGACTACAAGAAAAGTATAGATTTTTTACATAGTGCTATGGACGTACATGATGGAAGCATAAGGAACTTACTTAATGCTAACAATAACTTACCAGGAACTATTAAAGCATTTATAAAGTCCTTTGTAAAACCCGGTGCTCTAACATTTAGGTCTTTGAGAGCAAGAGCATTGAAGTCAAGAGATGCAGAAACTCCAACAGAACCTACAGAAGGAACTGAAACAACAGAAACTCCAAAAGAACCACCAAAACCAACAGCTAATGAAATATTGTTCGAATATTTTCCAAGGTACTCTGTTCTCATTGCATACATTCAAGAAATACTTAAGAAAGCAGACTTGACTTTAGGAGATGATGAAAGTTCTGTATATCTTTCGTTCCAGTTTCAAATAGCAGAACTTTTGAGACAGATATGCTTAATGTATGACAACATCTCTGATTTCACAAGATATGATGACGACCATGACCCCGAACACGGTGAAGAAGAAGTTTTACAAACATCCATTAAGACAGGAAAGGTTTTAACACAAAGTCTCATTATTGACACCAAAGATGGTGAAGTGGATGTTCTTCAAGAGCTGAAGAAAAATACTTCTGAAGGAGGTGGTGGTAGGCATGAACTTGAAATAAATGAGATAGAAGAGAAATTAGCCGAAAAAGCAGATAAAGAACATAAACACAATATCTCCGATATAAATGAACTTCAAGCTACATTAAATAGTAAAGCGGACAAAAATGAACTTGACGCAATGAACAAAGTTTTGAAATCTCATAAACACAATATCTCCGATATAAATGAACTTCAAGCTACATTAAATAGTAAAGCGGACAAGAACCATGTTCATTATATAAGTTCAGATGAACAGATTATAACGGACTATCATGGATATTTAACACGAAGTGATGAAGCGAAGACAAAAAATGTTAATGAAAGAAGATATAAATACATTCGTGCTAAAGGTTATGACATAAGCTGTACTGTACAGTATGATGTAGCTAAAGCACCAGAAGCATTTGGTTATACCGGTGAAATTTATGCCTCTACTTTCAATGTTAACGGTGTACTAGTTGAACCAAGATTTACTTTGAGAGTTAAGTCAAAAATAACGTTTGAAGATGCTATTAAAAGTAAAGCTGACAAAGATGAACTCGAAGCAATGAACAAAGTTTTGAAATCTCATAAACACAATATCTCCGATATAAATGAACTTCAAGCTACATTAAATAGTAAAGCCGACAAAAATCATACACATAAATCCTTCACTACTGTTAGAGCAGACGACATAATATTGAACTTTGACCTTGGTTCAAGTGCACCTTTAGAGAATCCGAGTACAAGCGTAAAAGATACTCTTAACAATTTAGATAAGAGTTGCAGGAATATCGAAGATCATGCCAGAAACTTTGAAGCATATGAACTACCAACAATGTTAGATAAGAAAGCAGATAAAACAGAGCTTCAAACATTAAAGACTCAGATTCTTGAAACATTATATCCTATAGGTTCTATTTATACGTCAATGAATTCAACAAATCCAGAAACAGTTTTAGGTTTTGGTACTTGGGAACAGATTGTAGACAAATTCTTATACTGTGCTAACTCTTCAAAGCAAACAGGGGGTTCGAAGAAAATTACTGAAGCAAACTTACCTGCGCACACTCATACAGGAACTACAAACTTTTCTGGCGACCATAGCCACTCATTAAGAGACCACCCATTATACAACTCAGAATATAAATCTGGCAATGACGTTTTATCTCCATCTTATAACAATTCAGCAAAAAAGACTTTTCGACAAACTGAACCAGGAGGAAATCATGTCCATACTTTCACAACAAATCCAACAGGCTCGGGTGCAGATTATATGCCACCATTTATGACTGTATTCGCATGGTATAGAGTTCAATGAACGCGCTTGAGCCTAGAATAAACTCTTTAACTTTACATAAATGAGCTTGAAAGAAGTATTCGAACAACATCCATGGAGGTCATTTAAGAAGTTCAATGAAGCTGCAAAGAGTCGGGGATTTACTAACAGAGCTGAAGTGAAAAGGTTCTTTGACAAAAATGTTGTACATCAAACAAAAATAAACCCTTACGACTACTTTTTACCAATTTACTCCAACACTCCTGACGCATACCAATTTGACACTCTCATTCAAAGCAGAAAAGGAGGACATAAACCATTCCTCATCTTCATAAATGTTAACACTCGCAAAGCTTTTGCGTATATAATGAGAAATAAAGGAACTCGTGAAGTGTTAAGAGTTTTACAAAAGTTTGTAGCAGAACATAGCCCAAGTACTTTAACATCAGACCAAGACAGTGCATACCTCAGCAACGAAATCACAGAATTTCTCATTAAGCATAACATAACTCACTACACTACTGAAGACCATAACCATAATATTTTAGGTATCATTAATCGCTTCATAAGAACGCTCAGAGATTTAAATCAAGAGCGAGACTTTACCGAAGAAACAATGAAACATTTTCTCGAAGTATATAATTCCTCAACAAATTCTACAACAGGACATACACCAAATTCAATGACACAACAACAAGAAGAAAAGTATATACAAAAGAAACGAAGCCAAACACAAAATATCAGAAATTCAACACAATTTACCCTCATTCCTGGTACAAAAGTTCGTGTAGTTCTTGACGACAAACCGTTGACAAAGAAACGTTTAAGGTTAAGTCGAAATTATTATATCGTAGACTCTACGCAAGGTAATGGATATCTTATAAAAGCTGCCGACGACTCTATTGCGTTTTACCCTCGACATAAATTAGTCGAAAGTAGTAATGGCAAACTTGCTGAAACCATTGACGAAGCAAAGCGAGGAGTGGTTATTGAAATACTTGGCTACAACATAAACGATGACACTTATAAAGTAAGATATGAAGGAGGCGTTGAAGATGTTATACCATCTAAGAACTTGAGAGAGTCGAAGCCAACACATCTGGGACCATTAGAGCGGGAGTACTGGAAAGACAAAAATATGCCAGAAAGAATAAGAAAATTCTTCTAAACTTTTTCATTAGATGTAAATCAGACATGAACGAGAACAGTCATGATATCATTAATGGTACCATTTATTTTAACATAAAGACGCAAAGCGGCGAGGACGAAGTCCATGACCAAAAATAATGTTTAGGGTAGATGGTTAGATCTAACCTCATTTCTACCCTCATTTCTACCCTCATGAATTTTCATGAATTTCCTTAAGATAGAAAAAATAAAGTTAGTTTTATTTTTATTTATTTTTTTATTTTGTATGTAAGAACAGAAATGTCAGTCGAAGCAAAAACATTCACGAACAAATCTAATGGTGAAACATTCACAAAAGGCACTTATAACGGTATTGAAGTCTTACGTAGAGACAAGGATGGTTACATTAATGTAACAAAGATGTGTCAGCAGTTTAGGAAAGACTTTAGAAAGTTGTTGGAAAATAAGTCCTGGGAAGAGTATTATAAGGCATTTTGTGAAGAATATAGCAACCGCCGGAATTCCGACGGTTGCTTTTTATACAAAATTCATGCAGGAATTCCTGATGAAATCAAACAGGTTAGAGGAACGTATGTAGACCCAAGACTTATAAACTATATAGCAATGTGGGCTTCTCCAAAATATTGCATAGCAGTTGGAAAAATTATGGACTCCATAGACAAGAAAGTTCATGAGAAGTTAGATGAAGAAGAACTCGAAGATACAGTGGAGAATGCTAAACCTTTGTTCGAAGAAGAAGTTGGAAAAATGTGTGAAAAACAATTAGAACATGAACGTGAGATATATTATGGTTATAGAGATTCTCCATACGAACTAGACCAATGGGAACAAGAAGATTTAAAGAGAGAATTTAGAGAATATGAACTCGCTAAGATAGCATTTGAAGCTGCAGAAAAGAAGTTAAAAGTTTGGGGTCGTTTTGTACAAAAATATTGTGAGTAAATGAACCATTTATTTTTATTGAATTCACCAAAAATATATTTTAGGTGAAGAGGTGAGATCTCACCTGTTTTTTCACCTCATTTCTACCCTCTTGAATTTGTCATGACTTCTTCGTAAATGTTTTGTCAAGACTTCTTCGTAATGAGTGTAAAGGACCCAAAAATAATGTTTAGGTGAAGAGGTTAGATCTAACCTCATTTCTACCTCATTTATACCCTCATTTCTACCCTCTTGAATTTTCATGAATTTTCCCGAAATAAAAAATAAAGTTAGTTTTATTTTATTTATTTTTTTTATTTTGTATAAAAGATATGATTTCAACAATCGGCACAACAACAATTCAAACAACAGCACCAAACTCGTTAGTCATGAATCCAACATCTATGTTAGTAGAGATGAAAAGCTTCATTCCTTCTTCATATACTTTTGAAACAGAAATCCAGAAGATAAAGCAAGAACTTTTAACAAGTAATTTAGACTGTAGTGCGAAAGATGAAACAAATGAACAGTATCTTTATGAAATGCAGGACCTCATCGACCATTTACCCAAACTACCTGAAATCCAACAACAAAAACTCACTATTCCTGAATTCGATGAAATTGAAGTCAAAGCAACTGACTCAGTAGAAATAAAGAAGTTCATACGAAAGGTAAACTATGAGTTTCTAGGATTTCATTGCAACCATAAGGTTATGGACAAAGATTGCGACATGGTATATAAGAACATCTCTGACATATATAAATCTGAAGAATTTAAGACCTACGACAACTTTGTTTCGTTAGTTGCTGAATGTGTATGGCAGATAAGAGATAAAGATAGAAGAGGCAAAGTATGGAACAACAAATAAGACCCGCTATGTTTGAGATGAAGAGAGCAATTGACGCTTTAGTTGTTTTAGCTGGTTTTATTTCAATGTATAACGCAAAAATGAACCCGCAATGTTCTAAATGTAAAGCAGCAATGAGGAGATATAACTACTCCGTCAAAGAGATAGAACGTATGAGAAACGACTATGCAGACTTAAAGAAAGAAGCAGAAAAACCAGCAGAAGATAAAATGGACATGTTAGCATTTCTGAACAAAAACTATCCAACTGCTGACGATTTCCTATTATCTGATGTCAAGAAGAAATAAAAGAAACTTTCGGCATTGTTAAAACATTTCGATGTACTAAAAGAAGAAAATAGAAGCTACAAAACTGTTTAAAGTCTCACGAATTCATAACGTTTACCATGTAAAACGCTTATAAAATAACTGGGGGTAGAAAAGAGGGTAGAAATGAGGTTAGATCTAACCATTCTACCCTAAACATTATTTTTGCTGAATTCAGCAACAAAATTCTGAGTAAAATAATTTTTAGGGCATGTGTCAAACCGTTGATTTTCACAAAATTTAAAAAATAACGTTTTACCATGTAAAACGCTTATAAAATAACTGGGGTAGAAAAGAGGGTAGAAATGAGGTTAGATCTAACCATCTACCCTAAAATATATTTTTGCTGAATCAGCAACAAAAATCGTGATTTCCTTAAAGAAGAAAAAATAAAGTTAGTTTTATTTTTATTTATTTTTTTATTTTGTATGTAAAGACATATATGTCAAAACATTGAGTTTGAAACAGTTAGAAAGATAGACAATGACACCAAATTGGTTAGAATAGGTGATTTAAACGTAAGATACTCAAAGAAATACAACAAATATTCTTTGTCAGACATTATATCTCCATCTGGAAAGAAAAACACACGACTGGGTTAGAAATGCTTCAACTCAGAAAATTTTGACAAGAAATCCTGAGCTTATGATATCAGTAAGATTCTATGGAACTACAGCATATCTCATCGACAAAAGTCTTATACCAATAGTTTTGTTATGGATTGACCCAGTTGTTGGATATAACTTCATAACTTATGGTTCATTCGATACGGAACGTTGCAGTGAAGGCTTACTTTACATCGTTCAGAAACCGAAGGACTTCAACACAAAAAGATATAAGATAGGAAGACATATAATATAACTCAAAGATATGACAGTACAGTCAATAGAGTCAAGGTTGTGTTCGTTAATGATATGAGAGCCGCAGAAACAGAACTACTCGAAAAGTTTGAGAAAATGTATGGTGCTCCCATAAAAGGTAAAGAAACGTTTGAAGTAGATGAGATAGATAAAGCTATAAAATTATTTGACGAAGTTGCTGAAAAATACATGTAAAGCGTTTATTTTTGGTCTTTTGTGAAAGATAGAAAAAATAACGCTAATTTTATTTTTATTTATTTTTTTATTTTGTATGTAAAGACAGATATGTCAACAACAGAGAACACAACAACTGCTATCGTTCATGAAGCCATAAATGAAGAATACGAATACATACAGTATAACAAACAATTGAGACTCATTCGTTCAGTCAAAGATGACATGTACCAAATGCAAAGTATAATGAATGCTCTTCTTTCTACAAAGCAAGCATATCATTGGTTTGAAAACCAACAGGCTAAAGAACTTTTAGAAGAATTTCCTCATATGATTGCTTCCCTCGGAAAACCGAGGGAAGAGATTCCGTACGAAAATCGCAAGAATTTGGCACCTGGTTTGAAAGGATATTATGTTCATAGACTTTTAGTAAATGCTGTAGCAATGTGGGCTTCACCTCGTTATGCTTGTTATATTTTCATGATGTTAGATGAACTATATAAAGCAGAACGTGGAGAGATGGAAAAGAAACTTCAAGCAAAAGATGAAGTCATTGAATCCAAAGACAAAAGCATACAGAAAAGAATACCACGTTCAGTACCAAAAGGAAAGGAAAAGAGTTATAAGTATATGATTTACGCTGAAGAGATGGAGAAAGAAGAAGATAGAGATATGGTTATGTTGCATTTAGTCAGAAGAAACAACAAAAGCTTTTACGACCTTGCTAAGATTTACAAATCTGACAGAAACTGGTTCTATCGTGAAAACTTACCGATTTCAATGACACCGAATGAGCAAATAAAGGAAATTGTCAAAATACTCTTCCTCAAACACACTATGACATCAAAGGTTGCACAATACTTACATTCAAAGAAGACTTACCATTACTGAAGGAAAAGATAACAGAATATTTCGATAACTTCAAAGAGGAAGAATAAAAAAATCTAAGCTAATTTTATTTTTTTATAAAATTTTATCTCATATGAAAGAACATGAATTTAGAATATTCGGAACTCATGACAGAAGAAGAGAACGAACAACATGTAAAAGATTATGCAAAATTTCTGAAGACATACAAAGCATTTAAACAATATCTAAATGCTTCTAAAGATTATGCAAAATTTCTGAAGGTATATAAAGCTTATGAAAAAGCGTATGAAAAGTTTATACATTGGGGAATTGTTGTAAAATATCCATATGAAGACTAACCAAAAATATATTTTTGCTTAAATAGCTTCAGGGTCTATTTCTTCAACCATTTCACTTCCTTCGTCAATGTCAATAGAAGCTTCTTCAACCTTTGGTAAGAATTTCTGTATAACATCTTTGTTCGTTATTGTCTTCAGAGATGAAGGATAATATTTCACATTTGTTTCACCCTTCTTATATTCTTTCTGTTCGGAAAGATTTAGCAATACTGAAGAAGTCAACGTTAGAGTTCTTTATGACAGTATAATGAGTATCTTTGACATTCACGAAGAAACTCTTTTGTTTCAAAACTACTGCTAACTCTTGTGAAGTATAACGTTTGCGGTCAATGACGATAGCTAATGGTCTGACATACTGACCAAACTTAGATTCTTTCACAAACTTCTTGTTAAAGATAACATTAACGTTTGAAGCACCATTGAACTCATTCTTGATGGCAGTAGCGAGAGCATTGTATGAAAAGAACTTGCAATCTTGCATGTGTTTCATTAAAATAAAAATATTAAATTATTTTGAAAAATAACTTAAAAAAATCTAATCTAATTTTTTCAAAAAATATTTTTTTTTTCCTACTAAAGATGTATCGGAAGTTGTCTAAGTTAGAACACTCGGAAATAAAACAACTTCTTACAGAAGCTAATATAGATGTTGCAAAGCATTACGCAACAAACAAAAAGGCACTCGCTGACATCCTCAATGACTATAATGGTGCAATAAGTTATGATAGAATTCATGAGTTCATAAAGCCGCAACGCGGCGAGGACGAAGTTCATGCAATAGCATTTCCTTTAAATGACATTGCTATTGACTTATATCATAGACGTTCAGTACCTCATGAAGTAAGGCGTGAGATGTTTGACATAACAAATGCGAACGTTGGTGAAACAAGAAGAAGAGACGACACACTGAAACAACAGAGAAGAGAGATGTTTAAAAGTGCTATAGAACAAGTTCGCAAAGCTAACGATGTCATTCGTTCCATTGACGACAAACCAAAAGAAGGTGAGAGATGGTTAAAGAAAGATGAAGAGAATAGGAAGAGAAATGTGAAGTCAGGCAATAGACTCATTGACTTTAACATCGAAGCTTTAGATGAACCAAACAGAGACTACTTACACAAACATTTCGGTAAGGTTTTCATGAGACTCTTAGAGAAGATTAAAATAAACTCCAACAAAGATGGATGGTATGTTATAAACTTGGTGGAAAGTATGAATGTTCTACGTTAAACCTCAATAATATTGGAACATTACTACATCAGCTCTTGAAGGAGAACTTTATATCAGAGATAGAAGCAAATGCTGCAGGTATTGTTGAAATGCACTATGACTTCTTCTTGACAAACATAAAGAATCTTACCGAAATAAAGATGTATGATTTAACAGAATATGAAGGCTTAACGATGTCAGATGTAAAGAAAGGAAAGCCAGAAGCGACCATATAGAGATGAAAGCACACTGACAAATGACCAGAAAGCCATTTTGGAAGCTCTTAAGCAAACAGGAAACCCAGCACTTATAGAAAGCTTTTGGAAAGATAATGGTGAAAAGAAGTTTTATAAGAAGAGAAGCGGTCAGTTCTGGAAGTATCTTTGCACATTACCTATAAATCTTGAACGCTACCAAATCTTCAATGAACTGAACAAAAGAACTGCAACACTTATGACAGAAGACAATTGTTTCGTTTATGCTTGCATTCAGGCTGGAGTAGATGAAGACTATTGACCACATGAGAGAAGTCATTCGTGTTAGAGACTTTCCTCAAAGTAAAGTACAAGAAATTTCTGACGCAACAGGTATAGCATTTAATGTTACCATTGGTTATTTCAATGACTCAAGACATAATGAAATAAAGAGATATATACCAAAAGAATGTGAAACTGCTCGAACTATTGACTTACTTCTTGTTGAAGACCACTACATGCTAAACGAAAGATTACCAATGACAACATATTTCATTCGCAACTATATAGAAATCTTGAAGGAGTGTGGTGGAATGAACATTGAGAAACAGATGAAATTATACAAAGAGAGATGGTAAATACATTGTTCGCATGGATAGAACAACACCGTTATGGGATGTTATGAAAACATTGTGGGAGTGCAAATATTTTGAACCTATTTCTTATGGAGAACTTTTCACATATACGACTGACTTATATAAACAGAACCTTGCACCATTTAAAGATTTGACATATGCTCCAAAGTATTGTGTACAACTGAAGAAGAAAGCAGAGTCAAAAGAAGTAAATAAAGCTAAATGTAAGTTCATTCCTGAGCATGTTTTCTTTGCTGACTTTGAGTGCAGTACCGATGGCTTTCATAAAGCTTTTAACATCTGTTATGACAGTGAAGATGGTTCAGTGAGTGAAAGCATATGGGGTCAGAACTGTGCAACAGAATTTTTGGAACGACTTCCTGACAAGAGTTTAATATATTTCCATAACCTCAGTTATGATATAAACTTCATCTTAAGACACATGACAGAAGTGAAAGGAACTCCCATCATTAAAGGTTCACGAACAATGCAAATAACTGGCTTATATAAAGGAAGGGCAATTATTATAAAAGACTCTTACAGTGTTATAAATAAGAAGCTTAAACTATTTCCTGCTATGTTTAACTTACAAACAGGACCGAAAGAAGTATTTCCATATAACTACTACAGCAGTACTTTGTTAGCAAATGACAACAGAACTGGTGTCATTTCTGAAGCATGTAAGTTTATCCGGGATGCAGATACATTCATGAAAAACATAGATTCCATCAAAGGTTGCAGAATAGATGAGAACCACTTCGACTTAGAAAAATATAGCACGTTTTATTGCAAACAAGATGTAAGAATTTTAAGAGAAGGTTTTGTTAAGTTCCGCAATGACTTATTGAAAGAATTTGATTTAAACGTTTATGACTACGTTAGTATTTGTTCAATTGCTAACAAATTATTTGAGAACAGAGTATACTTCCCGAATGGAAATCTTTATGACCTCTCAAATAAACCAAGAGAATTTATTTCGAGATGTATTCAAGGTGGAAGATGTATGCTGTCAGATAACATGAAACAAAAGAGTAAAGAGAAACTCATTGCTGACTTCGACGCTGTTTCATTATATCCATCCGCTATAGCAAGATTGTATACTTTAGAAGGAATTCCAAAGGTTATGAAGGATGAGATGCTAAGCACAGAGTATCTCATGAGACATTTATTCGATGACGACCAAAAGGAACCCATTGGTGAAAAGTTTATGTCTGGCTTCTTTGTTCTCATTAAGATAACAGAGATTGGAATACATAGACACTTTCCTTTAATAGTTTGTGACCCTGAACTAAATCCAGAACTTAACGTTCCCAGAAGTTCAAACACTTGCTGTTTAATGTATGTTGACCATATAACATTACAAGACCTCATAAAATATCAAGGTGTCAAATGTGAAGTGTTGCAAGGATACTATTACGATGGAAACAGAGATATTAGAATAAGAGATGAAGTAAAGAAGTTGTTTGAGTTAAGGTTAAAGTATAAGAAAGAAGGAAATCCTTTGCAAGAAAATATAAAGCTCATTCTGAACAGTATTTATGGCAAAACTATTCTATCTCCTATTGAGTCAAAAATAACCATAGTAATGACAAAGATGCTATAAGATATGCCATCAGAAACTACAACCATATAGTGAAGTTCGAAGGTTTGGATGGTTCAGATAAAACTATTTTCAAGCTAACGAAAAGCATTTGCAGACACTTTAACTTCTGTCCACTTGGTGTTAACATTCTATCAATGTCGAAGAGAATAATGTGTGAAGTATTCTGTACTGCTGAAGACTTAGGAATGGACATCTTTTATAGCGATACGACAGTATGCATCTCTACAATGAAGATATCCCTCGTTTAGCTGAAGAGTTTGAGAAACGTTATGGAAGAGTTCTCATTGGTAAAAACCTTGGTCAGTTTCATAGTGACTTCGCAGAAATAACACCTGGAAAACAAAGTTTAGCATACAAGTCAATATTTTGTGGAAAGAAGACTTACATAGACTTACTCACGAATGATTTAAATGAAGTTGCATTTCACTGCAGAATGAAAGGCGTGAAGCAAGATGTTATTGCTTTAACCGCTAATGAAATGTTTCCTGACTCTGTTCAGTGTTTCTATGATGAAGATAAAGGTTTAATGGTTCCGCAAGGAAAATTTGACAAAGACTCTGAGTTCAGTGTTATGAAGTTATATAAAGCACTTTATGACGGTCAAGAGATTGGATTTGACTTATGTAAGTCTTCTAGTCCTTGCTTTGCTGAAAAGTTTAACTTCTCATAACGACTAAAACAAGCTTTATTCGTAAGTTGAAGTTCTGAGGTCATTTATTTTTGTCAGCAATGAGGTCATGAATGAGGTCATTTATTTTTGTCAGAAATGAGGTCATTCGTGATAAAAATAAAGCTAGCGTAGATTTTACAATACTGCGATGGTAGAGTTTAAGAGTTGTGTTTCAATGTAGAGACAGTCCTTATGGTCTGGAGGTAAGAACACTGGGCAGTTATGGTCATGAGTGGAGAACATGTCTATCCAAAACTCACGATTGAAGCCAGTTAATTTATAGTATTTAGGGTTAGGAAGTGGTGAAGTTCTTGTATGACCAATGAACTCATTTTCAACTCCCTTACTTAAGTTTGAATATAATATAGCTTGCTTTCTATCCCAAATGCCAGGTGTTACAATCTTTGAAAATTCATTTTTCCTCGGAAGCATTGCATCATAATTGAAAACATTCTTGAAATCATCACTTGGTTCAGAGATTTGAAATCTTATACGTAATGGATTTTCTTTCTTTTTAGCTACTTCATTGAATGGTGAATATATAACAAACTGACAGTCATGTGTTCCATCTTCATTTTCATTAAATTCATAATGAAAGTCTATAAGTTGTGGCTGACTACCTTCTTCTTTCAGTTGTGCAAGAAACTCACGTAAAGGCTGTAAAGTTTGTACTTCAATGTTGAACTTTTTCTCGAACATTTCATTGAAGGAAATCATACATTCTTGTAAAGTTGTATCGTCTTTAAAGTATTTGTATATGTGAATGTTTTGGGCGCTTAAAGACTGTTCGTCATTTTCTATCTCGACTTGAAGTATAAAGTCAACCTTTCTGAAAGCACGTGTTATATACATAGATGTTATGCCAATGTACTTCTCTTCATTTATGTTCACAATCCAGTCTGTTGGAAACTTAAACGTTACTCTGTTCCCCTTTATTTTGACGTCAGGGTTTTCACTACTGAACGCAACAGATAAAGGTATTTGTCTATACATTTAATTCGGATAAAAATAAACCATTTACTCTTTCTTTGCTTCAGCTTCTTTAGCTTTTGTTCTTCCTTTGCTTTTGCTTCTTCTAGCTTTCTTTGCCAGCAAACGTGGGTTCTTTTGTCTTCCAGCAGCTAATGCAGCAAGTTGTTTTTCACTAAGTTTTCTCTTTGGTCTCTCTGGCTTTTGTTCTTGTTTTTGTTCCTTCAGTTCGGATAAAATTTGCTCACGAATTTCTTTCTTCAATGCTTCAACATCTATGACCCCTTGGGTCTTGTCCATATGACTTGTCTGAGTCATTTGACTGCAGATAAAAAACAAAATTAAAACTTTAACCGATGTAAAATGAGCTTGTCAAAATCAGAGCGAGAGTCTATTATATTAAATGACGCAAGAGGAATACAACATCCTTTCTATTACGTAAGTCAGAGTAAAGATGGTAAAATATACGTAAGAAAAAGAAAGGTTCCATTAGCGAATGCAGAAAGCGACAACATTAAGGTGCATGGCAAGGGCGAAGCCCACGAAGCCCATATAAAACCTTCTGTTCAAACCGAGCCACCAAAAGAACCAGAAGAAAAGAAGCCAGATGTACTTTCAATAACGAACCAAGAGCTTATTGCAAAGTTTGTGAATTTCATTGAAAAACAAACCGAGTCAAAGAACCTGACCCACCAGTGAAAGAAGTTGAGACAAAAGAGAATGTACAGTTCATTGAAAATGTCAAGAAACAACTTCCACCACGAATGCCAAGAAGAAGAGTGAGAATAATGAAGTAAATAGATATTTTTATCCGAAGTAAATACATGCAGAACGAACAGTTAAACGAATTTACTCCAGCAGAGCATATTCATCAGATTCGCTCATATTCGATATCATAGACAATGCAGTTCAAATTGGTGACACTAATAGAAAATATTCTGACGCAAAGATTCCATCACAACCTGGAACTGCTAAAGATAACACATGGGTAACATTCAATCTCTCACCTCCTGGTGAAAATATGTTGGACCTTTACAATACATTCATTACGTATAAAATGGAAGGTCAATTTATTGTAGATAAAGAAATTGGTTCAGGTTCCAATAAAACAAACCCACCAGGATTTTGGATTGGTTTCGATGACGCTTTCTATGCAGTTGCTGGATATCAAATCCTTGCAAATGGTCGTATCGTATATTCTCAAGACAACGCAAGAGAAGAAGCATATATAACTTCAAACTCACAAACTACCGAACAAATAAAGAAAGTAGATGTTTTCTCAAAGACTCGACATGAAGATGTATGGAGTCATTCGGGAACATGCAGAACAGGACAAATTGTTAGCGGTCCAATTACAGCAGGAAAATCATTTGATTTTAAGCTTCGTTTAAGAATTCCTGTTAGAAAGTTTTTACCATTAGAAGCTATAAGATTTATTCCTGCATTTGCTGGTAACATTCAGCTTAAAGTAAAGTTCAGTAGCGACGCCTTACAATGCACATCTATATCTGTAAATGATATCATTGCTTTCAATCCAACTCTTAAAGTTGCATTTGCTTCAGATTCAAATCCACCGACAAATAAATTTGTTCCATGGAATGAACCATTCACTTTGATAACGAAGGCAGTAGAAGCTAGTGGAACAGTTACTATTACAACTGTAACCCAGCAACTATTTCGAACAAAGATGGATTTTAATGAATGTTTCATTCATCCAAAGTCATTCTCTTTAGACCCTAACATTTATACAGAACTTGTAGAACATTATACAAACGAGGCTTTATGTTTTCCTGTTAAAGTTATGGATTGGATTCCTATGGACGGTTCATTCTCAAAGAATACAGATAGTTCAAGTGCAACATTTACAGCAGCTTATACGCCTATTAATGTTAAAAGTATTTGGGCACTATTTAGAAAGAAAGACAACTATTATGTTAATTTTGAGAACCCTAAGTTTAAATATCTTCAGCTTTCCATGGGAGCTTATGGAAATATGCCTGCAGAACCTGAAAAATCATATGGACCTGTATTTTATGAAATGGTTGCGAACGCTTGCAATACAAACAATGATATGATTGGATTTAATGAAGATGTTATGAGGTCATTGGTGGATGATGGTAGTGTGGAACATAAATGGGATAGCTATGACAACACACATTTCTTATGTGGTTTTCCAACAGAAGTGGACTTTTGCTTCCAGCAAGGTCAAACATCTACTGCTCCAATAACATACAAATTGTCTGTTAAAGGACCTATTGAACTAGCAACTGAAAATGTACCAAAGCCACTTATTGGATTTATGAGGGATTGTTGCTTTGCCATTCAGGTGCGTGCTAATGGAATCCCAATAATAAGACTTGACGACTATAACTTAGCAACTGACGACAGTGAGGAATAAAGGATGAACGTTTATTTTTAAAGCTTATAAATGAGTTCTTCATCAAGCTCTCGTGAACCTTCACCATCTATGAAACAAACTTTACCAAACGATTATGGAGCACCTATTGAATATTTCTTACGAGCTGCACAATGGCAAAGAGCAGTCTCACCAAGGTTAGGTGTTCCACCAGCTCCTGTCAAAAATAGCATTTGGTCAAGTCCTTATATAAAATATGGTCTCCCACTAGGTTTGCTAGCTACAGCAGGAGCAGTAATGATGTTGAAAAGAAATAAAGCAAATGTTGTAAATAATACTGAAGTAGCTGAAGTTAAACAAACTCCAACACCTTCGCCAAAACCAACGTCAAAACCAACGCCTTCACAAGCAAAACCTTCAATGACTCCTGAACCTATGGAATTACAAACTCCTGTTCAAAAGTCAACTCCAAAACCGACTCCAACATTTAAACCAGAACCTACACCACAAATAAATCGTAAAACTCCTGCGTTTCCTTACTGAAAAAAATAACGTTATTTTTATTTAATATTAAAATTTTTATTTGATTGAAATGACGACTAAAGTCACTGAAGCAATGAAACAAAAGTTTTTGGTAGAATACATTAAATCAGGAATTATTCCAGAAGGTTTTTACATTCATACTATGAAGGATGGTAGAGTTCAGTTTAGAAAGATAAAGCAACCATTAGATAAAGAAGGAATTTTGAGAAAGATTAAACTTCATGAGGACAACATTGCTGAACTTAAGAAGAAGTTAGAAGAGTTGGAGAAAGGAAGAGAGTTATAAAGCAATGAATTCAACAGGGTGAAAAACCAGGTGAAAAAAGAGGTGAGATCTCACCACTTCACCTAAATTTATTTTTGTGCTATGTTTTCATATGTGTGGGAGTGGTGATATCATTAATTTTTAAGTTTATTTTTTATTTTTACTGAAAATTTTTATTTGGATGTAAATGACAGAACAAAAGCAACTCATTCGAATTCCACAGTATAACAAACATACATTTAAACATTTATTCTTCCTTCCTGAGCATAACATGTTCTTTCAAATACATCCGAGACCAGTTGACTTTTCATTGACTGTGTATAAAGATAGAAATAGTTATATCATTAAACCATACGATGACGAAGGTAAGTTATGTAAATTGTACGTTAAGAAGTTAGAGAAAGTTTATGGCTTCAAGTATGACTACAATAGGGTTAACACTGATGATGAAGATATTGAGGAAAATTTATGAGAACATTAGTGAAGTCGTTAGTGAGAACGATAGTGAGAACGATAGTGAGAACGATAGTGAGAACGTTTATTTTTACATTAGTGAGTTCGTTAGTGAAGTGGTTGGCGGCTTTGTAAATATTTAAGGTTAAGTTAGTGTTTGTGTTGTAAAATATACGTTAACGGTTTTGTAAAGTGTCAAATTCACAAGTATTGGGTAAGGAGGCGCGCAGTGCCTCCGTACCCATGACTTGTATACTAACTTTTAATTACAGACCAAATCTATTCAAATTTCTGAATTTTTAATTTTCATTTCAATTTCAAATGGAATTAGAAGAAGAAACTATCTTTACTGTTATGGATCTTTGTAAATTTGGAGTTAAACAAGAAATACAATCACAGTATGGATATGGTGAACGTGTCAGGAAAGAAAGATCTCAGATTTCATTCCACTGCAAATATCCAAAATGTCCTGCACATTTTAATGTTGCAATCTTGGATCAAAATAAATACAAACTAATCAAAATAGTTGAAGAACATGATCATTCCGCCCCAAATGACAAAAGTCAATATTCGTCTGTCTTTTATCGCAAATATTTAGAACATTACTTCCAAACAGATGACAATCAAAGAGCGATAGCACAGCTAAATGCATTCAAAGATCTTGAAATTCCTCTTACAGGTCCGTCCATTCCAGAGATGTACGCTCAAAAACCACGTGCAATCAAACGATTTGCAGAGAGAATACATGCTCTTCAAACTAGATATTCTCCTGACGATGTTGTGTCATTGCAAATCTTTGTTCAGACAGTACAAGAAGAATCTCCAGATGATCTCATTGCATTTGAAGTCTCAGACAATAATATGTGTTTCTATTACGCGCCTTTTGAAGGCAAAGCTTATGCGCATAGTATCAAGACATTTCATATAGACAGCACCTATAAATTGTTGCGATCAAACATTCCATTGTATGCATTTACTGGCAAAATCAAAGATTTTCACATTTTCCCTTTTTTATATTTCTTTTGTCAACCAGACACTTATCAAAACATTCAAGTTTGCGTGTGCGCCTATCTCAGATGGGTAACAATTGAGCCAGAATACATTAGCATGGACTGTGCTCCACAGATAGCTCAAGCAATAGAAGAAAGCATTCCACAAGCTCAAATACTTTGGTGCGGAGTACATGTTCTTCGTGCAATTCTTCGCAAATCAAATAAGTTTTCTTCTCAAGAAAAATTTGAACAATTCTATAATTTGATGAAGGATTTAGTCTTCAAATTAGATGCAGAACATGAGGAAGAAGCAAATGCTGCCTATGATCAAGTTCTGGAGTTGCTCGACACAGATCCAACAGCATCTCAATACTTTAACAGACAATGGCGTTACAACATATCAAGATGGATTGCTCGTGACAGGCGTGAAGGCGACACAACTAACAATATTGCCGAAGCTCATTTTAGAACACTCAAACATGACTATTTTCCTGATCGAAAAAATCTCAGAATTGATGATGTTATTATAGAAATTTATACAAAAGTGATACCATCTTTCGTTATCAAACTCAAAATTGATCAAAATCCAGCAGATGACCGTGTCATTAGGATCATGGAAAAAGCAACTAACGCAGAAATTGATGTAAAAAGACAAAGAAAAATCGAGAGTATTTCAATGCTCAATAGATTGCTCAATGCTGTTAGTGATGACTCAATAGATCCCACTAAAATATATCCTACCTTGAAAGTATTATTGCAAAGAACTCATTTTATTTAATTTTGATTTTAATTTTAGAATAAATTATTAAATTTTAATTCTTTATTTTTTAGGATTGTTAGCTTTGTAAGATTGCTTTCTCACAAGAGAAAACAAGTATAAGGTTTAAGCTGTATGTATTAAAGTTCTAAATATTTGATTTTAAAAAAAATCAAGATTTTAAACTTTAAAGGTATTAATTATGATTATCTTTCTTTAGCTTTACATGCTGTATGCTACTTTTGGAAACTGCTCTATTGTATTAGAATGTTTTTAAATTTTGCACCTAAAAATGCGTAATATTAAAAATTAAGGTATTAATTATGATTATCTTTCTTTAGCTTTACATGCTGTATGCTACTTTTGTCTTTGAGACATTCCATGATTTAAGTTAAGAAGCTTTAAAAAATGCAAAAAAATGTAATAAAGTAAAAAATTCTTAGTATCGATAATCTGAAATATGTTCTTTTCTTAAGCCGCGAGCGAAGCGAGGGGCTTAGTTTCGTAACTTCATACAATCTTTTTTCGAATCTGTTCTTTTCTTAAGCCGCGAGCGAAGCGAGTGGCTTAGTTTCGTAATTTCATACAATTATTTTTCGAATTTCTTCTTTTTGCCAAGCGCGAGCGAAGCGAGTGGCTTTTTATTTTTTAAATTTTTTTTCTTTCTTACTTTTTTTTCCTTACTTACAAATTTGATAGTAACTTACCAAATCTCTCTATCATATAATAATAAATTAATCCATTTTTTGTTTCAAATCTGACACTTTACATTTCTGACATGTAAACCTGTTACTTTTCACTTCACCTCACCGGGCAAGTTTGTGCCCCCTCTTATTACAATAATATGCCACATTCGATTTTGTTTTTAATATAAAATTTTAATATTATTATATTTTATAATATAAAAAATAAATGATCACAATATAAAGACCTTCAAGGATACTGATTTGACACTTTACAAAATTATTTTGACACTTTACAAATTTTAGTTTACAAAATGAACTTTGAGGGCGCCAAAAAACTTGTCACTCTCGAATGTTCAGCTCATACTCAGCTATGTCTTGATATTATTGATGCTATAGAACATGGAGCAAATCGAGTTTTATTGGTTGGCGCTTCAGGTTCAGGAAAATCTCATATCGCAACTCGAATTTTAAAGGGTATCTACAAAGATTATACAACGGTTACAGCGGAAATTGGATATGATGTTCATGAGCGTGAATCAATTCATCAATTAGGCGAAAAAATGGCGACAAAAATTATTTTATTAGAAGAACTATCCGATTTTTCAATGAACAATACCTCTCGTGATCGAAGGTTAACTTGTGCACTTGCAAATATGCTATTTTATCCTGACTTAATAATTGCAACTACTAGAGATAAGTCATCTGTTGATCCTTCCTTACTCAAATACTTCCCATTAGAATTTACTATCAAGCCTCCATCTCTTGACGAACGAAGATCTCTTCTTGAATCAATTTACACAAATAATGAATCTTGTCCTCCACTTGCAAAGCAATTTCACGATACTACTGACAAAGAAAAGCAAAACTACATACTTAGACAGTTTGCTAGTCTTCATCCTTCTGATATTCTCATATCAAAACCTCTCGATGAACAAAAACCATTCTCAAACATCGCCGGCGCCGACAAAATCCTCAAAAAACTAGAATTCCTTGTACTTAAACCACTTACTAACAGAGAAATCTTTACAGACATGGGAGTTCTCCCACCAAGAGGCGTTTTACTTGTTGGACCAAGTGGAGTTGGAAAATCATTAATTGCAAGATCAATTGGCCATGCCTCTCGTGTTTCTTTCTTCGATATCACATGCACAGAGATTATTGCACCAGAAGTAGGTGAAAGCGAGCGTCGTCTTCATTCCATTTTCGAGAGAGCGCGTTCTTCATCTCCAAGTTTGATTTTGTTTGATGATATCGATAGTATTGCTCCTCCAAGAACATTTGGACAAAGTTTAAACGAAGCTGCTGATAGATTATTAACTACTTTGCTAGTAGAAACTGATGGTTTGGTTGGTAGAGATGATGGTGTCATTGTTATGGCTACAACAAGTCGTCTTTCTGCTTTGGATTCCGCAATAACAAGACCAGGAAGATTCGATTACATCATTGACATAAATCTGCCAAATGATGAAGAAAGAGGTGAAATGTTCGATTTATTCGCAAAGGGAGTACCAATAGAGAATATCGGTGAAGCAAAGAAATATGTTGTTGAATCAACAAATGGAAGAACTGGTGCTGATATAGAAGGAATTGTTAGAGAAGCGGCAATGATAGAATTGAGGGAAAATATTGATTCAAAAGTTATCACGATTGATGCATTTAAACAGGCTTTGGAACCATATAAGATCAAGGACACAATAAGTAAGAAAGGACCATTGACATTCGCTAAACCAAAGTCTCAGATAAAGAAAGGAAAAATGCATTTTGTTTAATTTTTTTGTATAAATTTTTTATAGAGTTTATAAAGTCCATAATGACAATTGATTTTTTTTTTCGAAACTGTAATAAACAGAAATTCATCAAAAGTGACAGCTCTCAATTTTTTGACATTTGTAAATTCTAAATTGAATGAGAAAAATGAAATAATACTAAGCATAATACAATATTCTAGATTTAATTATAATTAGGAAAAAGTTAGTTTTGAGAGTACTTTTCATAGGCATATAGAATGAAATCTTCTGAAAAATAATATCACATAAACTCATATTATTTTCTAATATATAACTATTTTATATAAAAATCAAATTCAATGATCTTAAAAGCGAAGGATAAACCTCAAAATTTACGAATATAATGAGTGGGAATATAATGCTTATCTATCATAAAACCATATGAAATATTAATTTTTGCTTTACGCCTAATTTTTGACGACAATTAGCAAAAAATGTTAAATGTTAACACTCAGTCCATTTGAATATGAAAAATAAAATTGACTTTGATTAAATGTTTTTATTTATCATGCAATTCTTCTTGCGACCAAAGATTTGAATAAAAGTTCAAAAAATAAGATAGCTTAAAAAATAATATACGGTAGTGTTTACTAATAGATGAATAGTATATAAATTCTATTAAAATGGATTTGATCCAAAAAAATATATAAAATTTGATCATAAATAAAATCGTTTTAAATTACTTCTTCATTTAAATTACCCAGATTTTCCTTACTTTTACCACTCCCCATGTAATTTCTGGGGAAAACGATAATTCATTTTTTTATGGATGAATAGATCGTTTTCCTAGAAAGGACCTCATATCTCTGGCTAAAAAGAGTGTCAGATCCTAAATAGGTTATTGATCTAGTGTACAAATCCAATAAAAAGCCTATTTTTTTGGCTTTTTTGGTGCTCATTTTTTCGAAGATCTACATGAATATGGGGAAACCATCGGATTTTTTTGGTTAACCCACATCTTCATGTAGTCTGGACTATCTTTCCTCGAAGGACCTCTTTACGGGTGTAAAAACTCATAAAGTTCTCAAAAGATTCATTCTCGATCTCCATGCTGAAAGAATTTACAATAAAAAAGAGAGCTACGCATCAAACTACAGCCATAAATGAACTGAACCCCTAAAGCTCAGCTCTTAGTTTATCAAAAACGTCGAAATCCTTCTCATTGCAATCAAATTTTCTCAATAACTCATAAGAAAAATCGAATTTTGATTAAGCCGATGTTATAGGTATCACAAATACTACAAACTTGAGCAATATCGAAATTGCCAGCAAAAGTTTGAAATTGCATTGCTCATATTTGTTTTGTAAACTAAAAATCTGCTTATATTATTCATTAATTTTTTATATATTATTCATATACTTTAATAAAAACAATACTATTTCACCTTAAAAATGAATTTCATAAGTCAATATTATTTTTTTGAAAATGTATCAATTTTTCGATTAAAACAACATGAGAATAAAATTTACGCAAAATTATTTTAAAAAATGGTTTTAAAAATTTACAATTGATTAAGAATAAGATTGCAAGAAGTTTTGAAGTTTAATTTTAAGAAAAAAAATTCGGATATTATTCATGGATCTAAGTAATCTGATATTTGAGTATCGGCACTATGCATAAAACATATATTTATAGTTTTTTTGGAGTTTTATGATTTTAAATATATTCAAATTTGGCAATCCAATATATTTTTAAAAAATAGGTAAATAAAAATAGATTACATATGCAGCAGATTTAGAACATGAAACAAATCTTATAGTGACCCAAAAAAAATTCATGATCCAAAAAAGAAAAAAATTGGCAAAATGGGAATCAAAATTTGGCATAATGAATAATTATGTCGGATGTTTACACTACGCTACACAGGCAGTTCGAAAAATACCCTTGGTGGTTCTATTTAATAGCTAGTCCCAACGATAGGCGGTGTCCCCAGCTTTAGAGAGGTGGTAAAAATAAGGCAAATCTGGGTATAACAATTATTTTTGGTTTTATATTTTTTTGGATCAAATCCATTTTAATAGAATTTATATACTATTCATCTATTAGTAAACACTACCGTATATTATTTTAAGCTATCTTATTTTTTGAAACTTTTATTCAAATCTTTGGTCGCAAGAAGAATTGCATGATAAATAAAAACATTTAATCAAGTCAATTTTATTTTTCATATTCAAATGGACTGAGTGTTAACATTTAACATTTTTTGCTAATTGTCGTCAAAAATTAGGCGTAAAGCAAAAATTAATATTTCATATGGTTTTATGATAGATAAGCATTATATTCCCACTCATTATATTCGTAAATTTTGAGGTTATCCTTCGCTTTTAAGATCATTGAATTTGATTTTTATATAAAATAGTTATATATTAGAAAATAATATGAGTTTATGTGATATTATTTTTCAGAAGATTTTGTGTTCTTCTTCAAAATTTTATTTTTTTATTAAAAAGAATCTTTACAAAATATACATTTACTTTAATTAATATTTAAAAACGTGCTCTATCAAAAGTTCCAAAAATTCAATATTTTAGCTTTTCTGAGGTGTCACTTTTGATGAATTTCTGTTTACAACAAAACTGAGCTTTATTCAGAAATGAAATGAATAATACAAAAATGGAATTTAATTTTAGGATAAAAGACTATTATAATATAGTTTCATATAGAGATTATGTATGATATTATGAATATATCAATTTACAGAATACAAAATTATTGTTCAATAAGACTCTTTAATGAAATGTTGATATTTTCTTATTTGATTTGTAATCATAGTAGCTTTCTAGAATAATAAAAATACCAAAATAAGATATAATTTAATATAAGATGAGGAAAACCAAAGAATTGTCTATTGGGTTACATGAGTCTAAGGACACTGTGATGAGAAATTTGACGCCTACTTTAACCCAATATATATAGTATGAAAACAGAACATACAAAGATTAATCAATACACATAATTTCATGATCCTATAACAATTGCTATTCATTTTCATACAGTTATTATATTCAATTTTAAGCTCTATAAAGAAGCTTTGAAGCTTCAACGAATTTTTAAACGTGCATGAATGATGATTCAACTTTATCAGCCGAGGATTCAAGGCTAGTTCAACCAAAACTGAATCCACCGGTTCCTATAGCTGAAAATCCTAAAGTTATTATCACCCCTATATCAAGTTCGCCATTTCCACCTTTTTCACATTTATTTTTCTCGATTACAAAAGCAATAAATCTTCATTCTTGCTCACAAAGAAAAGTATTTCCTAGATTACGTATAAATGCAGCATTAAACATGATAGATTGTCCAGATGTTTGGTGCAGTAATACAGAAGCCATTTTTAATGCAGCATATGCATTGGATTTTTCAGGATTATCTAATCTATCACTTACAAATTCCATTCCTGTTATAGAATTTCATAAAAAATACCCACATAAAACAGAATTTTTCGGATACTGCACTTGCGATCTTAAAATTCAAAAGACAGTTGAGATTGATGGCAAGAAACTCTCTATTATCGCTTTAAACAAAGAATACCAAATTAACGACATTGGAAGCAAAAATGTAATTGGATCAGTATTTCTTAGTATTGGATTAGGCTATATAAATCATAGAGATGTGTTCGATCCAAACTCTCCAAATTACTGCCAAATTCAAACTCCTCCACCTATACAAGTTTGTAAACCTGCCAAAAAGCCTATTAAAGTAAAGAAAAATCAGAAAAAGAACAAAAGAAGAAGACCAAAACGTAAATACGATTATTACTATAGCGATGATTATTATTACTCAGATTATAGCGATTATAGTGATGACTGGGAAGAACAAGCCGTTAAAAACGGTTGGTTACGACCAGGAACAAAAATCGACTGGAAAGAAAAAGCAAAAACAGAAGGATGGGCTCCACCAGAAATTGTTGCGAAATATTCTGTTGACACATCATGCAATTTACTTGCTTCTTCTCTAGTCAATATATCAGTACAAGCAATTGATGTTCCAATGCTTGCTGGTGAATTATCCAACGTTAGTAAAATTAATTCATCAAATTCATCTCCATCAAAGCCCGATCTTGAGAAGGAAGAAGCAACAAATGATATACAAAAGTATCTTGATATGCTTCAAGCTGAAGAAGAAGCTACAGAAAAACAAAACCAATCTCATTTAAGTTATCACGAAGAAGATATATTCTCAAGGGTTAGTGAGAACAACCCACCAGAGTCAAATCTGTTTTCTACATCACGAGAAGAAGAATCACATTATAGCAATAATAAATCGAATTTATCTTCTAAAAACGACATCAATGACTTCGAAAAACTCAATGACTCCGACAAACTCGATCCTCTTATTCAATCAGATCGATCAACAAAATCAAATAAGTCAAATAAGTCTAATAACTCCAAAAAATCAACGAAATCCTCTATAATTAATGCAGTATCAGATGATTTCGATGAACTTGATCTTACTTCTAAATCAAATACCCTTAGAACAAGTCAGACAGATCAACTTGGAAAATCTGATAAAATTAACAGTATGAAACCAACTGATAATCAGACAATTTCTGGACTTACTCCTACAAATGATAAATTTGCCGAACTTTCTGCATCAAGTACTCAAAAATCTCTTGATCTTTCAATCAAATCTAATAAGAGCAGCAAAGCTGATAATCAAGATGACCTTATAAATACAAGTAACTCAAATAAATCCAATAAATCAGTTCAAAATGACCTTATCAATACAAATAAATCTGATAAATCCAATAAATCAGCTCAAAATAATAATTTTGATACAAAATTAGATTCTGATAAGTTATCAGACTCTATTAAATCATTTAAATCAGATAATTCCCTTAAACAAGATAGACCAACGACAAATACTGATAATTCACTTCAAAAGAGCAAACCAATTGATTCAACTTTATCAGATTCTGATTCAGATATTCCTCAAGGCCAGATTCTTCGAAAGTCGAAAGAGATTCTTGGCGGTGATGATGAAGAAGAGGAAGAAGAAGATTCACTCGTAACTCCTGAAACAATTGAGAAATTTAAGAAGAAAATTGATGATCTTAGAAACCAAATAGGGGATGATGAAGAAGAGGAAGAGGAAGATGATTTTGTTAGTAAAGATGATATACTTGCTATTCTTGATAAAATAGCAGCAGGAAAAGAAGAAGAAGAAACAAAAGAAAATCAAACAAAATCAAATTTGAGCAACATCGAAGGACAATCAAAATCAATTATAGGTGTAGAACAGGAGCCTGAATTCAGCGTATTAAGTGACGAAGATATTTAATTGTAAAAATTATTTGTTTTTATTGTTTTTAATTAATTTACTTTTTAGATGTATTTGTTGAAATTAAATCTCCCTAAAAATGGCCTGAAAACGTATTAGCTAATACAAGCAAGATTAACTAATGAATTTATCCATATAAAACTCATCTCCAATCTCGTTTGCAAAGCGAATAAGCTTCAGTTCATATTTGAGTGTCAAAAAGGTGAGGATATAAAGGGGAGAGTATCTCCAAGTCACCCAGTTTAGTTAACTTAACACTTACCTTCATCTGGAATTAACTCAAAGCTACCTAAAAAGGCTGATAATTCAAGCATCCTGTTTCAAAAGAAGAATTTATGTTTACAAATGTCAAATTGGCAAAAAAAAATTAAAAAATGTTTTTGAGTCTGATTTTATATACGGCCTTTGATTATTCGAATCAAAGAGATGATTTTTCTAGCAGAATTGTATCAGACTATCAAACAGATTACGAATATTCTGATTTTGAAGAGAGTTCTTATTACGAATATTCAGATGAAAACGAAGAGTCAAGTTATGATGAAATAATGGCCGAATCTCATCATAAATTTTCCAATAGAAATGATTCTGATCATGATGGAGAAACTATTTCCAACGATATCAACGAACCAGTCTATTATTACAACGATTACTTCTTTGATGATCTAGAACGAAACGACAATAATGCTAAAGCTGATAAGCTTTAAAGTATTTTATAAATTGTTTGTAAATAAAAAGTTTTTAATAATATTTATAAAATTTAATCAATATAATGCAGTTTTTGTTAATTATCTTTATATTTCTTATCTCAATAAGAAGAATATTTAATCCGCTGAGTTATGAAAGAAACAATAGGAAACCACAATTGAATGGAATGACTTCAAAGTATGTAGCCAACAATTTACACAAGAGAAGGAATTCCGTTCGATGATGCACTCGATGCTATCAACACAAAGTTATATTCACAGTATGAAAAACTCATAACAAGTGCGGAAACGATGATAGAGAAGATTTTCAAGCATCTACTCAAGAAAATGCTCGTTTGACAGATGCGTTTCAAGAACTCTCAAATGGAATGGAACCGCTTCAAAAAGAACTTCATAAAGTCATCGGCAACCAATGTTTTACCTCCTTTGAAGAAACAAAGAGATGCTGTTGATGCAGTTCCTCAAGTTCATCCTGACGCAAAACCCAAGTCTAAACAGGCAAATGGACATTTGAAGTTAGTAATGAACAGGAACCAAAAGATGCTCAAAGCTAACCAAGGACTCTTGAAAGGTGTCGATGGACATTACTACATGAGAGACACAATTCAAGATGGTTCACAACCTCCAGAAAAATCCAAGTCTGCAATGTCTTATCAGGAAAATTCGTTGTCGCAATCATACGACTCTCAGAGATAAATACCGGTTGGCAGATCAAAGCCTAATGAATAACTCCTCAGGCTTTGAATATGATTAGAGAAAAGACACCTGTTGATCAATCGAATTAATTCTGATTTTTTTATTTTAGTGTTTGTTGTCATTTAATTTTTTATGTTGGCCAGATTTCAGCCTTCTAGCACCATAATGTATTCCCTTTAAAGGAGGAGCAAAAAAAATTGAAATTTTATGGTATCTTTTATATGAATTTGATCCTTATAATTTGGACTTTAAATATAATATTTTATGTTTTCGTCTTCATGTTGTTCTTGAAATACTTTGAATTTGCTGAATTTGAAATACTCTTCATAAAATTCCTTCTTGGGACAAATTTTTGGGATGCCTTCAAAATAGGTATTTTTTACATGCGTACAAATAAGTTGTGGATCAAGAAGTCCTAATTACGAGATCGATATCTTCTTCTAGATTGTTAAGATCTTCCTCAAGGCTATTGTTGGCGAATCTTTCTCGAGATCAGGACCCACTTAAGCACCTTTTAATGAACTCTATTTGACCACTGATCTGAGGTTTTGATCGTTCCTGGCTAGTTAAATCCTTATTTGTAATATGTGTAATGTGCTATTTAATAATTTCCTAATTCGAGTCTCTTTATTGTTTCGATGGCATTGTTATTCATAATTTTATAACTCTGACATGTCTCAAGGACTTGTTCAGAATTATACTTATATTGCTGCTCATTTTAAAGAATACATTGATGAGGATAAGGCTCTTGACATTTTTGAACTAGAAGACATCGGAAAGATCTTAAACGAAGCAATGTTATCTCCGAATGACTTCAATAAACTTCTTCAGCAATTATCATCCAAATTTAGCGCAATACAAATATACAAATACACCCGAAATGCTACAATTCCTATTAATAGTCTTCAAGATTCAATATCAACACTAAAATCAATTCAAAAATACATGAAGCTAAGATTGATCGATGGTGTAATTGACCATATGAATTATATACAGAACGAAATGTCGAATTATACAAAGAAGCTTGAAAAATTTCAATCAGAGTTAAATATGGTCCAAACCCAAAACCAAAACTATGAAAAAGAAATACAATCTCTTAAATACCAAATTGAAGATAAAAAAAGAGAAATTTCTGAAATTAAAGATGAAAATGATATTCCAAAAGTAATTTTATCAAAAATTACTGAACTAAAGAATTCAGATGATTTCGAAAGTATTTACAACTTTGTTGACGGACTTTCAGGAATAGGAAATCAAAAAATGATGGAAAAAGCATATGAAGAAGGTCTTTGGCAAAAGATAAACAAAAAATTATGATAATAATGTTCTTCATGAAGCATCTGAAAGAGGAAATCTAAGACTTGTTAAATCTCTCATTGAATTTGGCTGTAAAAAAGACACAAAGAATAACCATGAATCAGATCTACTCAATATAGCATCATCTAATGGTCATCTCGAAGTAATTAAATATCTTATCTCTATTGGTGCTGATAAAGAAGCAAAGAATGTTATTGGATATACTCCACTCATTTGGGCATCAATAAAAGGTCATCTTGAAGTAGTTAAATATCTTATCTCTATTGGTGCTGATAAAGAAGCAAAGGATAATAAAGAATATACTCCACTCATTTGGGCATCAGAATTTGGTCAACTTGAAGTTGTTAAATATCTTATATCTGTTGGTGCTAATAAAGAAGCAAAGCAACAATTTGGATATACATCACTCTATGTGGCATCACGTTGGGGAAGTATTGATGTAGTTAAATATCTCATCTCTATTGGTGCCGATAAAGAAGTAAAGGATATTAGTGGAGAAACTCCACTATTTACTGCATCAAAGTTTGGATGTTTTGAAGTAGTTAAATATCTGATCTCAGTTGGAGCTGATATCGAAGTGAAGAATAGTGATGGAAATACGCCACTCATTTGTGCAGCAAGAGAAGGTCATCTTGATATTGTTAAATATCTTATCTCTGTTGGAGCCAATAAAGAAGCAAAGGATAAAGATGGAAAAAATGCGCTCATGAAAGCATCACATTCAGATCATCTTGAAATAGTTAAATACCTTATCTCCGTTGGAGTCAATAAATATGCAAAAGATAAAAATGGAAAAAATGCACTCCATCACACTACTAGTTGTGATAAAACACGCGATTATCTAAAATCCCTCGGACTTTCATATTGACAAATGAACTTCTGGAATCATATCAAATATTTAGTCACATTCTATCATAGAATTTTGGAAAATATAAACTCTTGATTATATACATCATCAATCTTTTTTATTGCATAATTTGAGTTACAGATCTTAATTATTCAAAGATATGAAATTATGCAATTTTGATTCTGAAAACCATTTTTTTTGATTGGGATAGATATATTGATATTAACACTTAATTTCAAGAACAAATTTTGAAACCATAAGAATTTTTATTTTTTGGACTGTCATGAAAAGTGGTTCAGTCTAGCATATTACAAAGCAAATAAAGCTTCATTTTCATCACCATTGCTTAGTATATTGCTGCATCTCTTCAATCACAAGGTCACTTTACATCAAAGTTACTTCATGTTAAAGTATATTATATACAAATAGGGCTTCATTGAAATTCTGAAGTTTACAAAGAAAAAATAAATCAACTTCATACGCCTTCAGGAATGAATTTTGAAACATTGTTTATTCATAATAAGATAGCCCATCATGTATATATTTCATCCCGTAAATATAGGAGCTTTTCAGATTTCTTTTGATTTTGAAAATTTTGGGTTCGTCATGGCAGATAACTTTAATTTTAAGAAAAAACAAATACTCATAAAAAGCAGAATCATTTCCTCCAGTTAACATGAATTTCAAAATCTCGTTATTTTTGGATGATTGATGAAGTTTGTATACAGCATAATTTTTCAAAAAAGCTAGCACAACTTGACAAAGTCATCCAAGGATACCTTGCTAACCTTGAAGAACGGAAAATGCAGAACAAATTTTTAAAATCATGGATGGATAAAACGGCTGAAAAAATTAATCAAGAATATACAGAGAAGATTACAAAAATACAAAAAGAATATGATAAAATTTCCGATAGCAAACCAGATAATCAAGGAGAAACGTACAAAAACAAAGCAGAACAACTAATAAAGAATTTTAAAAACGAAACTCAATCGGTAGAAGACCATACAAATAACAGATTAGGAGATATTGCCACAGCAGTTGATGGTTTACGCAAATTACTCCCTTCAATAATTCAAAATTTTACAGCAGAAAATGATATTTTTATGAATAAAGTTCAATCATTCAATCAAGATCTGCAAAATGCATTAGAGAAGTCTAAGAAAGATCATGAGCTTGCTTTAAAGAAAGTTGATCAAGAAATAAATCAAAAAATACAAAATGAAGAAAAAGAAAGTTCAAAACGAATTGCGAAGATGGAAAACTCTTTCCAAAATGAACGTGATAGACCGCAAACTGCAATCGGTGACTCAAGAACAACAGCATTAATCAGACAACTTAAAAAAGAAAATTTGGAGAATAAAAAGTTCATTTCTCAGATGTCTCAGAAAGTAAAGAACATGCAAGTAATAGCAGAAAGTAATATACAATCCTACAGAGATAAAATGAAAGGATTAATATCAGAAATAAAATTTGTATCAAATTCAAACGAGAATTCGCTTGCAAGCACTCAACAAGAGTTGGATAATGTTAAAATAGTATTTTCTTCACAGAAACAAGGTGTTATTAATAACCATGATGAAGAAATGAAAAATTTAGAAAATGAAATTTCAAAATTAAAGTCAGAACTTGAAGAAAACACGAAAAACCATAAGCAGGATCAAGAAGATGCCCAACAAAGATTGAATTCATCAAATGAATCCAATGAAACTAGTTATAATGACATAATTGAGCGACATAACCAAGAAATTGAAATAAGAAAAGTAGAAATAGAAAAAGAAGAAAGAGATTCCGAAAAATCATATAGAGATGCTGTTGATTCTTTTAATAATAAGAAAAATGAACTTGAAATTGAATTATGTCAGTTCACAAACAAAAATAACAAGAGTTATGATGAAACTGTTGAACACAAAATGGTTGTGAAGCATAGCCAAGAAGTAGAACAAGAAATTGTTGATTACCAAGCTCAATCTGCAGCAATTTCGAGTAAATTTGATGCAATTAAATTAACTAACTCTCAAATACCGGAAGCTGCAAGGAACTTAGCTAAACTTCAAGAAGATTTGCTCAGTATGCAGAATAAACATAATGAAATGCTCAGATCAAACAAAATTTCGTTCAAAAAGGAAATTTCGGATTTACAAAAATCGTTAGACCAAGAAAAAGAACAACTGATGAAACAATTCAAAGAAGAAGAGAAAATTCAAAAGGAAGATTGTGAAGGATCAATTTCTGTTCTTCAAGACTGTTTTGATGAAGAAATAGAGAAGTTTATAAACAATATTAGTACATCTGATCAACCCGAATCAATTTCTTTGGCATCTTCTCGTTCTTCTTCGAGATTTAATCTTGAAATTGAGGAATTCAAGAATTTAAATACAGAATATGATTCAATTAATATGCCACAAGGATACCAGAGTTGTATCGATGAGAATCCAGAGCTAGAAGAGCTCCACAACCAAGTTTCAATTCTTAAAGATAAAATTAAGTCAGAAAGAGCTGTTTTAATAAGAGAATTTGAATCAGAATTGGATATAGAGAATAAAGATCACGTAGATCGCCTTGTAAAATGCAAATGTACAAAAGATTTCAATCAAAAATCAGATAAATTAAGGTTAAGATGGAATAAGCTTCTTTCTGAGTTAGATATCGAATATAAGAAACTAGAAGCTCTTCTTAAAGCCACTAAAAAGGCTTTTCTCAAGAGATCAAATTCATCTGGAGATCCTGAGATTGATGAGCTTCAGCACAAACTTTCAAAAGCAAGGAAAGAATCAGATAGAATCATCCAAGAGAAAGAAAATGCTTTTAACCAAGAAAAAAACGAAATTTTGGACGAAATTCAAGCAGCAAAGAAAGCTAATTACGCAGCAAATACAGCAGAAGACCAAGAATGGGAAGAGACTTATAAAGGTATTAAAGAAAAATTCACGGTAGAACTTGGTCGGAGATCAAAAATGCGGCAAGACGTTGAAGAAGCTGTAAAATCATTGGAGCAAAGACTTTTAGAGAGGAATGAGAAAAGAAAGAACGAATTGCATAACCAAATTGAGAAAATTGGAGCTAAATTACAACTTGAAAAAACTCTTCACGTTGATGATCCAATACAACTCCAACAAACTGTTCAGCGTCGTAAGGAACACTTAGAAGCGCGAACAGAAAGGCTTTGCAGTCAATGGGCTCAAGAAATTGAAGAATTAAAAGGTCGAAGAGAAGCATCTATTAATGAAATACAGCATATGGTGGCTGCTGCTAATACAAAGATAGATGCTTTCAAATCTGAAGTCGAAACAAGGCCTCCGAGAGCAGAAGAACAAGTAGTTATTGATACATTGCAAGAAAAACTTGATGAAGTTACGAACAACTTAATTCATCTTGGAAGAGTAATGCTTAATTACAGAGATTGTCTTCTTCTCAGAAATGAACATTATAATCAAAGATTTTCAAGAACAGAACCACTTGTTTCAAGAAATAATATAATGGTGCTACCACCACTCCCGCCACCAAATGATGTTTGTTAATAAATCTTAATTTTTTATGTTTGTTTGATAATTATAAAAAAATGTTGTATAATGATATAAAAATTCAATGATATAAAAATCATCACTAGGTACTATTTGCTATATGTTTGATCCTTTTAATGAAAAACATTGAATTTTAATTCATAATTCATATTTTAAAACCCGAAATATAGAAAAAGAGCTTTAAAACGTTAATGCAATGGATAACTAATATTGAATTTGGATGTCAAGGCGACAAAACTTTAAAGTAGTTCTATATTTGAATGCTCATAACTTCATCCATAGTAAAGATGTTAATGATATTGAAACATAAATTAGTATGGTATATAAAATATAAAACTGGTTAGCTTCGGTTTTAATATTGGATCCTCCTCAACATATTGCCCTTCCAAAATCTCAGTAATGACGGCCTATCAAATAGAGAGTGTGTGTGTGTGTGTGTGTCTTTATATATGAAGAGACAAACAATGAAGAAAAAATTGAGATTTTGATTCGTATTTTTTCAATTTCTTGAAAAGAAATTCAATGACATAACGACAAAGAGTTATATATTAGAGTTTAAAGACAACGTCACTGTTGGTATTCCTTCTCATCTAGCTCCTTCTGAATATGTTAATTTTACTATCTCTGAAGGATTCCAAATAATTCCGCAATATTGTTTTTATAAATTCACAAAACTCGAAAATATCGTGTTTCCTACGTCATTAACATCGATTTATGATGAAGCATTTGGTATATGTCCAATCAAAAAAATATTTATTCCAAAAAATGTAAGTTTAATAAATACATGGAATCCATTTGATCGATTACAAGAATTGGAAGAGATTGCTGTTGATCCAGAAAACCAATATTTTGCTTCTGTTGATGGTGTTCTTTATACTAAAAATATGAAAACTTTAAGACATTTTCCTGCTAAGAAGAACGTTACAGAGTATGTCATACCTTCTGGTTTAGAAACGATTTCATATTTTTCATTCACATACATAATATTTGTGAAACATTTGATATTTCCAGACACTGTTAAGTCAATTTTGGCTAATGCTTTTTCAAATGCCAATTCTATTGAATTTATGACTGCGATTAGAAATTATCGGCAAAAAGAAATTTCAATTGATCCGATGGCGTTCGATGGAGAATCAATTAATGCATCATCGTTAATTTATGTGTATTCATCTCGAAAGCCGATGACATGTCGTGTGCAATCATGTTTTTCAATTCAAAATTTAATACCTTTTATTGTTATTTCGTTGTTTTAGACAAATCATTGTCAAGAATAAACATATTTTAAATTTTAAAATGTTTCTCAAAGGAAGAATAACAGTTTTATACCTTTGAATTAAAAAGCTCAAGCTCATATGTTAAAACACTAAGTTTAGACCTACTAAGGTATGTGAATATTGCCTATCTTGTATAGGGGCATAAAATACTTTTTGATGCTAAAGAATTCAGAATTGATTTAATTTGATATTCAAAGTATGTACAAAAGTATGAATAAATGCGGATTTGGCTCTCAAATATCTCTATTTCAAGCAATGATAAATATTTCTGTATTCGATTTTTTAAAAAATCAGATTTCAAACAAAGCATAGACTTCCCACAAAATGTAAACTGAATGAAAAGTATGAAATTGTTTCAACAACGCATAAACTTTCCAAAAAATGTAAGTTGAATGACGATACAAATTGATTGGTATTAGAATTCTTTTTATCTAAAAGTGACACCTTGGATCCGAATTTTTTCAGAGAATGTCAAGTTCTGAGCAATCCAAAAATGAAACTGGATGTGGTTTTAGTGACGTTAAACCACTTGAAGTATTTGAATACCCTAGTCAAGCATCAAAAATTATATGGAGTGTCAATTCCGAGAATATTATTCAAATATCTTCACAAATTATAGAATTAATTACAAATAACAAAATACCTATCCAAATGGCAACTTATTTGATTGATACTTTTTCACAAATGCGTGTTAAAGATATTAAAATATTTACAGAACTTTACCAATTGGTATCAAACGAATTTTCATACATCGTCAAACCGGAAAATATTAGGTTAGCAACGCTTTTGCATTATAAAGGTTTCAAATTTGAAAATTTCGAACCTAAAATGACAGAAGAAGATGTTTTCAATTTGTATTCAACAGAATCTCCTTTATATTATATTGTATGGGATAAAGTTGATGAACTTAAATCTAAATTCTCAAACCTTGATATTAATCAGAAAATTTATGAAACCACACCAATGGATTATGCAATTATATATGGATCAGAATTGTGTTTCAATTACTTGAAAAATTTAGGAGCTAAATACACTAATTACTCCGAAGAATATGCTGTTCAAGGCGGAAAAAAAACATTTTTATGCAAATGATAGAAGAAGGTAAATCATTTGATGGCATGATTAATACAGCATTGGATTATCGAAACTATGAAATTGCTGAGTACCTTAAAACGAATTATGGACAAACTCCTGATTCAATAGCAGAAAGTATGCATTTCGGAAATTATGATGTTGCATCTTATTTACTTTCTAATGGAGGAAATATCAACAGAAGTTATATTATTTCTCTTTTCTTATTTATCATTATTTTATAACATTTTCTTTCATATTATATTTATCATTGTTTTATCTCATTCTCTTTATTTTCATGTTTATTCTTGTTTTATGGAATTCTCTTTCTTATCATATTTATCATTGTTTTATGAAATTCAATCAATGTTGATGAAAACCCTCTCAGTAATGCAAGCAAAATTAATTCAATAGAAATTGTCAAATTCTTAGTTGATCATGGTGCAAATGTTAACGCGAAAGTTACTCTCTTTCTTTTCATATTTATCAATGTTTTATCGCATTATATTTGTTTTCATATCTATCATTGTTTTATATAATTCTATTTCTTTTCATATTTATCATTATTCTACAAATTTCTCTTTCTTTTCATATTTACCAATGCTTAATACAATTCTCTCTCTTTTCATGTTTATCATTGTTTCATGAAATTCTCTTTATTTTCATATTTATCATTATTTTATAACATTTTCTTTCTTATTATATTTATAATTGTTTTATGAAATTATATTTCTTATCATATTTTTCATTATTTTATTTCATTCTTTTTATTTTCATGTTAATCATTGTTTTATTTCATTCTCTTTATTTTCATATTTATCATTGTTTCACGAAATTCTCTTAATGTTAATGAAAGCGCTCTCAGTATTGCAGCCAAAGCGAATTCCGCAGAAATTGTCAAATTCTTAGTTGAACATGGTTCTGATGTTAATATGAAATTTATTCTCTTTCTTTTTATATTTATCAATGTTTTATATAATTCTCTTTCTTATCATATCTATCAATGCTTTATACAATACTATTTCTAATCATATTTATCCTTGTTTTATACAATTCTCCTTCTTTTTATATTTGTCAGCATTTTATATAATTCCCTTTCTTTTCATATTTATCATTGTTTTATACAATTCTCTCTCTTTTCATATTTATCATTTGTTTAGACAATTCTATTTCTTTTCATATCCATCATTGTTTTATATAATTATATTTCTTTTCATATTTATCATTGTTTTATAAAATTCTCTTTATTTTCATATTCATAATTGTTTTATGAAATTCTCTAACTTTTCATATTTATCATTGTTTTATGGAGTTCTTTTTCTATTCATATTTATTATTGGTTTATACAATTCTAATTCCTTTCATATATATCATTATTTTATAAAATTCTCTTTCTTTTCATATTTAGCATAGGTTTATCAAATTCTCATTCTTTCAGTATTTATCATTGTTTTATGCAATTCTCTTTCTTATCATATTTTCCATTATTTTATTATATTTGCTTTCTTCTCATATTTATCATTGTTTTATTTCATTTCCTTTCTTTTCATATTTACCATTATTTTATTTCATTCTCTTTATTTTCATGTTTATTATTATCTTATGGAATTCTCTTTATTATCATATTAATCATTGTTTTATGAAATTCTTTCAATATTAATGGATGCCCTCTTAGTATTGCAATCAAAGTGAATTCAACAGAAATTGTCAAATTCTTAGTTGAACATGGTTCTGATGTTAACATGGAACTTATTTATCTTTGTTTATTACAATTCTCGCTCTTATCATATTTATCAATGTCTTATTACATTCCCTTTCTTATCATATTTACCATTGGTTTATTCAATTCTCTATCTATTCATATTTACCATTGTCTTATAAAATGAGAGAGGGTCAAAGTTGCTATTTGTCACTTTTCCACAAGAATATAATGGGAAAAAAGTTATCATATAGTTGATCTCATTCACTGATGTGAGAGATGCATGTAGTGTAATGGGATAAACAGTGGGATTGCTGCTCTAAGTCCTAGGTTCGAGACACATTGGCTTCATTTTTCTCTTTTTTATTGACGTAAACTATTCAATTTTTGTGTTCTCCATTCAAATTTCAGAATTTTTTTTGCAGATTTCACGCTACATTCGAAGTTACCTTTTGTAACAACCACCACTGCCTACGAAAGACGAAAGTGTGTCACGATTTCACCCGGAAATCCGACGGTTGTTTAAGAGTATGCACTTTTGTCACCTACTCTTACATTCCCTTTCTTATCATATTTACCATTGGTTTATTCAATTCTCTATCTATTCATATTTACCATTGTCTTATAAAATTCTCTCTCTTTTTATATTCATCATTGTATTATGAAATTCTCTTTTATTTTCATATTTACCATCGTCTTATGACATTCTATCTCTTTTCATATTTATCATTGTTTTATTACATTTGCTTTCTTTTCATATATATCATTGTTTTATACAATTCTCTCCTTTTTTATATTTATCATAGTTTTTATACAATTCTATTTCTTTTCATACCTATCATTGTTTTATGGAGTTCTCCTTTTTTACATATTTATCATTGTTATATGAAATTCTCTTTATCTTGATATTTATCTTTGTTTTATACAATTCTATTTCTTTTCATATAATTCCCTTTCTTATTATATTTATCATTGTTATATTCAATTTTCTCTCTTTTCATATTTATTCTTGTTTAATGGAATTATCTTTCTCTTCATACTTATCAGCATTTTATGAAATTCTCTCAATATTAATGAATGCCCTCTTAGTATTGCAATCAAAGAGAATTCAACAGAAATTGTCAAATTCTTAGTTGATCATGGGGCTACAAATACCAAATAATTCATTTTCTAATTGCACACTTCTATATTGAAACAAGATATAGTAAAGTTGGGCATGATTTAAGAATAAACATTCCATTTTACACACTTAATATGGGAAATGTATTAAAAATATTGTGCGTTTGAGAGGAAAATTAGAAGTGCTTCCGCTCTCAATATCAGTATGCTAGCTTTACAACTCGAGCATCATAGAGTACAAGTTGACTGTATCTTAGAGCTATCGATGAATAAGGCTAAATTTGAATGCAGCACGTTATAGTTGAAGTGAAAAATAAGTGTTGATCTATATATAGTACATAATATAACAATTCTAAAAATCATAAAGCGAAAGTAAACATTTAATTTTTTGAGTATTTTCTGACACAAAAACCACACAATGTCAAAAACTTTGAACGGCCAAAAAAAATTATCGCGTCAGAAAGTTTACAAATGTATATTTTCTGACAAATAGAGTCTCAGAAAGTTCTCAGGCAGTGGTTTTAATTATATAAGAAGTTCTTGTATGCCATTTTCCTGTTCAGCTTTTTTATTTGATTGTCAAGTCAACACAAAGATATGGAACAAATTTAATTTTTTATTTGTTCCTCTCATGAAAAATAGAATATAATAAATATTAAATAAAAGAAGAAAATGTTTAGATGCACCAAAAATTAATCATTTAAACAGCATTCTTAAATAAAACTTAGTAAAATTTCGTTTGAAATTCAAATATTGAATTTTTTGGTATCTGTGCAAATTCTTAATCGAGTGATGCCTTGATTTCAGCAAAGTTAGCCTTAAGATTTTCCTTAATTTGGGTGATAGTTGAAAGGAGGTCAGCTGTATCTTCAATTGTGATCTTATCGAAGAATTCGGAGTTCTTTGAGAAGAATGGTAAGAAGAACTTCTTGTAAAGGAAGATGGAACCGTTGCAAACTGGAAGTTGGAGCCAAACGTAGTAGCAAAGGCGGAGAAGCATGAAGAATGGGACAAAGTGAACAAATGGGACTACGTAAACTTCAATGAAAGAAGAAATAGCTATGACAATCCAGTAAATAAGCCATGTTGTATCGTCACATCCTCCGTTTGATTTGATGGCCTTAAAGGATGCCCAGCCTGGATATGCGACCTTGACGGAAACGACAAGGAGAGATGATGCGTAATGAAGAGCAGCAGCTACGTACTCCATTTTTATTAAAAATAAACTATTCAAATTTTTATTTTAGCGCCACTTTTGAAATAAAAAGTGACGATTTTATTACAATGATAGTTTATATCGATGATAAACAAAATATGTGATTGTCTGGTTGAATTAGCCATTAAGATTAAAATTTTCTATTTTTTGATTGTCTTTTTTCTTGATGACCCAAATTCCCGTGGTAAATCGTGCATCAATTCAAGCAAATGAGTTCCCTTTACAATTTGTATGCGATGCACTACTAAAATCTCATCAAGATGCAGTGAAACAACCTTTTAATTTTTATTCTGAATTTAATGGTCAACCTGTTGAAGAAAAATCCGATAAGACTCAAAAAGTTAGAAGAATCACCGTCAAATGGACACTAGAAGAACAAGAATTTTTATTGAATGGATATCGTAAATTTGAAAAGTATTGGACACAGATTCTAAAAGAATATCCGATGAATCCCATTAGAATACGATTTGATCTAAAGGATAAATGGAAGAATCTTCAGAAAAAAGCATCAAATCCTAAGATTAAAGAACTTTTTGAAAGAATAGAAGCTTCAAAAGCTCAGAGGAACCAAAATTTCACAAAAGGTAGTAGATTTATCCTTATTAATGAACAAAATAAACCTAAGCAGGAGAAAGAGCAAATTATTTTAATTCACAAGCAAATGGAAGAGCGTATTCCTCATAGAAGTCTTTCTTTTGTATATCATGCTTTAGAAAACCAACAAGAGCAAACAAGAATTATTCAATTATGGGAAAAAGTCATGGCCGACCCATCAACTGTTTTTAATTTTGTCAAGGAGTGCAGACTGATCAAGTAATTGAATTTTGATTCCTTAAAAATAAGAATTTATTAAGAATCAAAGTATCACCAAAAAAAAGTGTTGAGTTCCGGTCTATATAAGTATATACCATCTTAAGTACATCAATTGAAGAATTTTTAATCAAAATAATTTTTCATTGCAGGAAGAATTCTTCAAAGGAAATTCCGCACTCTCTAATTACACAAATATAACCTTCTAGAGAATATTGAGTAAAATAGTAAAGGAGTGATAATATCATCTAGCTGGCTTGACAGAGATCAAATTGAAAATACCATCTTAGATATTTTTGTATAAAAATTGTTTGTTGTTATTTATAGGATGCGCTTACAATTTTCTGTCATTCTTTCTGCTTTTTCGAAGCCAAGCTTTTGACGGAAAAAGATCATTATACATAATACGAATGTTATACTTTTTTTGTTATGAAAATAAAGCGGTATTTGATCATATTAGATGCACTTTCCACTTTTCGACACTCAAGCTTTAGTAAAAAATTATTATAAATCACTCCTGTGTACCCCATATGGCTGTTCTACTTTGATATGTTGATACAATGAGAGTATATCGGAAATTAAGGGTGTACTTACCACTTTCTGACACGCTCTCATAGAAACATATTATCTTTATTACAATAACAAATAGATATTAAGAACGATATAATGATTTTTTATAACTTTTCCCAACCTAAAATATTAACTTTTTACCTTAGAAAATTGGGGTATAAAACTTGGGTGTCAAAAAAATTGAGAGAAAGTCAGAAAGTGGTAAGTGCATCCTTAAAAAAAGTCATTTTTATTTGGAAAAGAAAAATAAACATAATTTTTTTTATTTACATATCAAGACCTAAAAAGTCATCGAGAAGTTGTCTATGCTTCTTTGATCCCTTTGCCCAAACGCTGTTAGTAATGCGTTTTTCGAGGTTTGGAAGGTAAGTTCCATATATAAATGGCGAATAATAATTATAAGTGAAGAAAACAAGTAAAATAATGATGAAACAAATGAAATTCCTTCTTCTCTGAGAGTAAAGAATTCTATCTATTGTTGGAGCAAACGAAATAATTGCAAACATAAGTGGAATTTGGTAATCAGACAAAAACAAAGTTCTTTTTGTCAGAAAATAAGGGAGATAAGACAGAATATAACCAACACATGCATAACTTGCAACATTTCGTGTTAGTTTTCTAAATCTGATCATTAAAATGATGACAGATGCAAATGAAATATAATAAACTACAGGATTTCCCATTAATACGATCAATCTGTTGTTGGAACGATCCCAACCACGAACCCATATTCCTGTGAGTAATGGCCATGAAATTGGATTACTTTGGTAAGGATCAAATCTTTTATTTGATAATCCAACACGTAACATCCTCAAACTGAGGAAAATAGCATCTGTAATGAATCTGCCTGGGTCTCTCTCTAAAAATAAGTGCTGCTGAAGTGAAACAGGAAGATATTCGTCAACATCATCTGTAGAATCGGGTAAAAAGGACATATGAAGGACAGTAATCAGATCGAAGATTATAAAAGCCGTAACAAGCATAATAATGATGCCTTTCATGTTAAATGGTTGTAATTTCTTTAATGCAACGAAAATTGAAAACGGAATCAATGCAAACGCGGTGAATTTTGTGGAAATACATAAGCCGAGGGTTAAGCCTGAAAATAAGGGAGTATACGATTCGAAACCAGCGGATAACATGAATAAATGAATTGCGATCAAAGTAAGTAATATTCCATCAGGAATAATGTATCTGCTTTCGACGATTAACGACGAGTCTAACGCAATCATTAAACCTGTAACAAAAGAAGGTAATCTCGAAACACCGCAAATTCTAAGGACAGAAAAGATAATTGGAGCACAAAATGATGATATGAAGCAAACTCCATATCTTATTGGTACGAAACTTGATGTCTGTTGCTTTTTGCTGTTAGTTCTTTGAAAATCATAATCGCATTGGTATTTATAGAATTTTGCAAGCTGGTAAAGCATGATTTTTCCGAATGGTGGTTGTGTATCAAAGAAAAATGAACCATTGCAGTAGCAATTGATGTACTGACCATATCTGTGTTCGTCAAAAACGACTGTTTCTGGTGTTTGCAGATTCCATATCCTTGCAAAAAGGGAAATTGATAATATAATAATAACAGAAATCGAATCCAAGAATGATTGGTATGAAGAATTCGATTTCATATCAGAAAAGTGACAATTTCTCAAATATATCAATTCACGCTTATAAAAAGATCTTTAAGGGGTCAAGTCTAAAGTATACAATAGAATAGTATAACTATAAAAAGCACATAGTATAATAAAGGTGAAATATATAGTTAATTGCGAAAAATTTTAATAAAAAGTTACATACATTCAATTATAATACCATATCCGCCTCTTCAACTAAAAATTGATGTGAGTGAAGTGAGCTCTAACGATCTGTTGGAACAAATATACTAAAATATTTCACTTCTCCTCCAAAGAAATTGTGACTCAGGGACTTAATAGTGTATACTATCACTGTCCTATATAAAAGTATTCTGACTATATCTGATTATCTAAAAATCTAATACAAAGTAGAAAAATTGCATACAATATTAGTACAATTTTGATAATTCACGCCCGTAAAACAGCAAGCAAAGGCGACCCTTAAGTATCATGGGAAATTAGACTATAGATGTATCATTTAATACTATTACTGCAAAATAGGAGAACTTCATTGATAGCAAATATATCGATAATTTATATGAAGTGCAGTAATACTATGTAAGGACTCATTGAATAGTTCGCATTTGATCTAGAAATATGTTATGATCTTTAAAAATATACATAATTAACTTGATAATATCAATTTTAGAGTAATTTAAAAATGTTAATTACTTTTCCTTTGTAGGAATATATATTCATATTTAACATATAATTTTGCATAAAGTAAAATACAAAGCAAAGATTTATAATTAATATTCAAATTAATAAAATTTGAGCTGCAGAGAGTTTGAGCAACAATAATAGACGGTTGAGATGACTTCGAGCAATCCAAAATATACCTAGCATAAGTGTAAAGAGATGTAATAGCGTTGCATACCAAATCACTTAAGTCAAACATCATGGGATCACAAAGCATGTTATATATTTGTTCCATCCACTAAAGATCAATTGCGATACACATTAAGGCAAGCAGCTTATATATTTTAAGACTCGATTTTGAGAATAACTGAAATCTTGAGTGGTAATAAGCTTCTGGATTAAAAAGTTATTAGATTGGATTTTACTATTGGTGTTATATCATTTCATTTTTTGTTAGGCTTAATAAATTTTGAAAAATTCTCTTAGAAATCTTTATGGTCATTGTTCTCCACATTTTTAACAGATGCTTTTTTTCTCCAAATGAATTTCAAAGATATTTGACTTTTAAATTTTTGCATGTCTGATCAAGACAATCAACATGCTAAATACAGTGAATTACTAAGTATAAATAAATACTGCATCAATGCATATATCGCGTTATATCAGCTGAAAACGGAAAAAGAAGAAGAATTAGACTCTATTTACAAAATGATCAAAACAGAATTGATCGAATCAAAGAAATATCCACCCAGAAATATTATAAAAGATATTTTAGATATTATTCTGTATAATAATCGCTATACAAAATCATATTTAACTCTTGCCAAACTTATATCTGATGATTATAATGTCACAGATGTCTTCAATGTAGAAGATATTTCAAACTTCCTGTTTTATAAAGAATATGGAATTAAATTAAAAAAATCTGCTGATTTCGAAAAAATTGAATCAGAAAATCTCAATTTTCTTACAGAAAATACAATTTACAGAGCAATTATGTACAATGACAAAGAAAAATTCATAAAATTCATTGGAATAGACGGATTTGATAAAAATCAAATACTTAAAAGCAAACTATATTCAATTTATTCTGATGGATTAACATTACTTGAATTCTGTTGTTACTATGGAGCAGTTGATTGTTTCAAGTTGTTGAGAACTGATTTCAAGTCAGAAATAACAAAAACATGTCTAAAATTTTCATTTTTAGGAGGAAATCCGGAGATCATGAGTGAATGTTTGAAATATCAAACACCAGATAAAGAATGTATGAAGTATGCAATTATTTCACATAACATTGATTTTGTTACATTCTTGATGTATGAATATAATATAGAGATCAATTTAAAATTTTGCGAAGATTACAAAATTCTTGAATCATTTTTAGTTTATTTCGATTAAACTAATGATATTAACGAATGCTTTAAATATTCCACAGTGTTCAATGTTCCATCATTTTGGGAACATTTTCTGTCACATGGCGGAAATATCGATGAAAATATTCTTTGTAATGCAGTATTTAATAATAATATAGCAATGACTGAATTTCTTATTTCGCATGGTGCAAATATCTACGAGAAATATTTTGGAGATACCGTTCTACATCAGTCAATATATTATAATAGTAAAGAAATGCTCGAACTTCTTATTTCACATGTTTCAAATATCAATGAAACAGATGGAATTGGACAAACTCTTTTTCAATATGCAGCAAAAATTAATCGTAAAGAAATGGCAGAACTTCTTACTTCACATGGTATAAATATCAATGAAAAAGATAGATATGGGAAAACCGCTCTTCATCACGCGGCAGAAAATAATTGTAAAGAAATTGTGGAATTTCTTATTTCACATGGTGCAAATATCAATGCAAAAGATATAAACGGGGAAACTGCGCTTCATCTTGTAGCAAAGAAAAATGATCTTAAAGAAATGATAGAACTTCTAGTTTCACGTGGTGCAAATATCAATGAAAATGATCAGCTTGGAAGAACTGCACTTTATTATGCAGCATTCAAAAATAATAAGGAATTAGTTGAGTTTCTTATTTCACATGGTGCAAATATCAATGCAACAGATCAATATGGATATAATGCCCTTTGTCTTTCAATAGGGTTAAAATATAAAGAAATGATAGAACTTCTTATTTCACGTGGTGCAAATATCAATGCAACAGATCAATATGGATATAATGCTCTTCATCTTACAATATCGACAAATTATAAAGAAATCGCAGAACTTCTTATTTCAAATGGTGCAAATATCAATGAAAAAGATAGAAATGGAAGAACCTATCTTCATTATGCAGCAGAAAATAATTGTAAAGAAATAGCTGAGCTTCTTATTTCACATGGTGCAAATATGAATGAAAAAGATGGAGATTTGAAAACTGCTCTTCATTATGCAGCAGAAAATAATTGTAAAGAAATAGCTGAGCTTCTTATTTCACATGGTGCAAATATGAATGAAAAAGATGGAGATTTGAAAACTGCTCTTCATTCTGCAACATGTAAAAATAATAGAGAAATAGTTGAGCTTCTTATTTCACATGGTGCAGATATCAATCAAATAGATATATATAGAAAAACTGCTCTTCATTATGCACTTGATACGAAACATAAAAAATAGCTGAATTTCTTAGTTCGCATGGTGGAAAACTGGATTCTTCTTTGACAAGATTCTCTTCGAAAAAAATATAAATAAAGATACGAGGAAAAGGTCTAATGGCGGGAAAAAGGTGATTTTGTCTCCTAAAATAGGGGAAAGTAAAGTTTTTAGAAAAAAATAAAGGCATCAATAAATAGTAAATATTATACTTAATTTTTTTTCTTGAGTTTTCCTCCTAGGGTAAAAAGCAACCAAAAGCGATTATTTTACATCCAATCTGTGCTTTATTTCTGACCTCAATATGAACAAGTTCCAGAAAGTCATGAATGAATTCCCAACCTGGAGAACAGACCTCCTTTTTGGCCTTTTGATACTTGAAAGAGCCGCTTTGGCTTCTATTATTACTCTTTTCATGAAGGTAATGAGATTACACCAAAGTCATGGCAAGCGCAATGTGACACATTACATAGATTTTCTATGAACTGTAATTACCTAATGTCTGCTGCTTCAACCAAGATGATCAGGAGATATTCCCTATATGAACCAGAATACAGCAGAAAGCTGTGAAAGAGACCATTTTTCAAGGTTATGTTCCATTTCATATTTTCTGATATTATAATTAGCGTTTTTTACATAAAAAATCTTTCATCGATTAAAAATGAGCTATATTTAGAAATTTTCAATTAAAATCGACTGTAAATAATTATTGTTGAGGTTATAAAGTCAAATCAATGGAAATCAAAATGCCGTTTTGAAAAAAAAATTATCATTCTGTTCTTTTCATCAATGGGAAATTGCTGCTCAACAATTCCAGACATAGAAAGTCGTTTTCCAGCGATTGGCATTGTTGACATAGGACATGAAAATGAAGCACCTGATGCAGCTGTTCAAGCTGGTCCGGATGTGGAGCAATTTGAAAATTTAAATTTTACTGACTCCTCTTCAGTTGATGCAGAAATGGAACATCTTTCAAAATTACTTGAATCTTCTAAAGCAGAACCAAAAGCGAAATCATCGGGCTCGAAGAAGAAGAAAAATTAAATGAAATATAGTTACTTTAAGTATATTAACAAATCTAATTTCTTATACGAAAATTATTTCATTCTGTGTTCATTAAACAATCGAATTTACAAAATTTCCTTTTTTTATTTCTATTGCTCATATTATGAACTATATTAGCTATCTAAATAAGACCTACTCATAAAAATCTGGTATGTGTGATATATAATGTTATCATAACAGAAAAAAAATACATTAAATTAGTTGATAATTTACCAGTAGTATATATGGATGGGTTTAGTGACTTTTTTTGTTACATCTATATATAGACGATGCATTAAAATATATTTATTTATAAACACATTAATTTTTAACATTAATTTTAAAATAATTTATTTTTTTATTCTTACATAAATGACCCAACAAGTAAAACCAGATAAAGTGGATAATAGAATTTTAGAGGATGGTGTTCCTGTTTACATTCAAAGATTTAAAGGAAAACAATATTACAGAATGATAAATCCTGAATATGTGAAACATTTATTTAAAAAGGAAGATTGTGAATTATTAAACGTTAATGATTATGAAAATACTAAATCAAAACTGAGATATAAATATATTGGAAGTGATGAAAGGTGTAAAGATAAAGATAAAGTTTATACAGTTTCATATAATGAATGGAAAACCGATAAGATTAGAAAACATTTAGGAGATTATGGGGAAAAATCTGAATTCTTTAAATCTAGTATATACGAGAGAGTAAAAGAAATTAGATATAATTATCATTCATGAATGAAAAAAATAAACACATTAAAAAAATTAACATTAATTTTAAAATAATTTATTTTTTATCTTTTATAAAAGAAGCTATATATAGATGATGTCAGATATTCCGCGATTAATTAAACATTGTTTAAATCCTGAATGGGTTAAACTTCAATTTAAAAATGAAGATTGTGAATTATTAAATGAATATGAAAGCCAAAATAAGCTAATGAGGTATAAATATAATGATAAAGAATATTTAATTTCATGGAATCAATGGAGTCATAATCAAAGACCTCATAAACGAGAAGAAGAAATTGAAAATAATGAAATGGAAATCATTGATGACATTAAAGAGGATGGAATTCCTAAATTTTGTAGAAAAACCTTTAGAACTAAGTTAGGAGCATATAAACGTAGAGTATTAAATCCTGAATATCTTAAACATTATTTAAAAAGGAAGACTGTGAATTATTAAACGTTAATGAATATGAAAATGCTAAATCAAAACTGAGATATAAATATATTGGAAGTGATGAAAGGTGTAAAGATAAAGATAAAGTTTATTCAGTTTCATATAATAACTGGCACACGTTAGGGATAAGAAAACATTTAGGAGATTATGGTAAAAGTTCCGAATTCTTCAAATCTAGTATGTACGAGAGAGTAAAAGAAATTAGAAATAATTATTTTCATGAATGAAAAATAAACTTTAAAAATTCATGTCTTACATTTTTTGAATAATTTATTTTTTTAATTCGTATGAAAATGAGTGGATCAAGATTCGTAACCGTCAATCAATTAATGGATGTTCTTTCACCAATTCTTGAAAATGTTAAACAAGTAGATGTTTATTTCGATGATTATGTAGAAAGTATATATTATAAAGGTAAGTTTAATATTAAACCTATTGCTTTTGCATTTGATAATAAATTAATTGAAAATGCAAAAATTTGGGAATTAATTCCAGATATTGAATTTATAACAAATATTAATGATAAATGGTTTAAACGAATTCCAACCACAAAAGTTCTTTGTAAATTAATGATCAAAACTGAGGAAAAAGAATTTAACGGGTTTAAATATCATCCAAATAAAGTTTCAGAACTAGAAAATGAAAAACTTCAGAAAAAATTAAACGATAGACTTTCAAATGATCGTATTGAAAAAATAAATAAACTAGCAGAAGTTGCATTTAATAATGAAATATTTGATGAATATAACCTTGAACTCAGTGATGGACTTTAAGTCCTGGGCACTTTGTGCCTTGAGCTTTAAGGACCCGGGCTCAACGAGTCATGATTTATGAAATCAATAATTTGATTTATTCGCTCTTCAATAATTTCTATTCTTTTTGTTAAATCATCAATTTTCATTAATGAGGTGATTCTTGATTGAGGAATAGATTTTAAACTAACAACACCTTTTATTTTTGAAATTTTGAATCCATGACCCTCCGGGTCTTGGACTCTGTCCTCAACTTTAAACATTTTATTCAATTTACATGTTGTCAATTCTTCAAATAATTTTTTATTATTAGCATAATAGTCATTAAATTCATCAACAGATGAAAAAATTTTTATTTCAGTAATTGGTTTAACAACGTTTATTTTTTGTTGAACATTTTCACTTTCATTTATTTCTTCCTCCTCTGTTTCATTTATTTTTAAAATCGGTTTCATTTATCATTAAATAAAAATTAGAATATAAGTGATGAAATATATTTTTTAATTAATATTAAATCAGAGATGGCGGCAGGATTCTTTAAAAAATTATGGGAAGGAATTAAGAAAGCTGCAAGTTGGGTTCATCAAAAGATTATTAAACCCGTTGCAAACTTTTTGGCACCAGTAGCGAAAACGGCAGGAACTATCATAGGAGGAGTATTAGGTGCTAAAGCAGGTAATCCGGCGATGGGAGCACAAGCAGGTAACGCAGTTGGTGGAATTGCTGAAGGAATACTTAATAAAATAGGGGTAGATAGTGGAAAAATAAATAAATATTATTTTTATCTTAGTATCGGTTGTAGTCGACGATAAACCTTATCTCCTTTATTTAATACTTCCCTTACCGGAACATTAGGTGCTATTTGTTCAGCAACGTCACTAATTGCTTCTTTATTCTTAAATATCCAATTTGCTCCTTTCTTAATCCCTTCCCAAACTTTATGCGCTCCTCTTTTTACTTTATCCCACAGTTTCTTAAAGAATCCTGCAGCCATAGTTGATTATTTCATTAAAATTAAAAATTCATTTTCATCTTTTAATTTTGATTTTTTATTTAATAATAAATGACGACTAACTATTTAGTGCCAAACACTAAACCGATTAATGGAAATGTATTTCATTCATTCGAAAAGATAAATGAAATATTCGCAAAGAATGATGGAGAAGATATTATAGAGAACTTGAAAGTTCATGCTATGACTCTGATGCTCCATATTTTGATGATAAACAAACTCATTTAAGAATTACAAATCCGGCTCATGATGTGAACCAATTAGGTGACACATATATTAAACGCAAAGTTAAAGCAACTCTAGTTTCAAATAAAGCTTTCACATGTGATGCCGCTTTTAAATGCATGCGTTTATTCGTTGGTTACAAATCATCAAATCAAAGCTTTAAACAATTAGAAGTAGAAACCGAAAGAGGTGATGCTGGTTATCTTCAGATGGATTGCGCCCGTGAATCTTTCGCATTTGCAACATATAAACCAAAATCAGAAAGGAAAGTTAAAAAGTTTGTTCATTCGTTATATAATAATGTTCAAAAATATGATAACTCAGTATGTGGTAAATATATTGACCCTTCAGAAGTTTTCAAGAAAGCAAATGAAGAAGTTGATGTCACTTTTGATATGATTATTCCGGTAAATGATTTGTTAGCATTTCAGGCGTTCGATGATTATCCTAAATCATTTGGTGAAATCATTCTTAAATATTATGTTTTCAGGGATACTTTAGTATTTTGTCAGGTTGACCCGTTAAGAGTTGCTGATTTACAAAATTACGTTTATGAAAAGATAACTGATGAAAATTATGAAAAGATTATGAATCATGTTTATAAATATGATCGCAAATTCCAACAAATCGGACTTCCTGCCAAATTAATTACAAGCTTAGCCGCTACATCTGCTGACGCAACAGTTGAAGACGTTATTATTTCATGCACAAAGATGGAAGTTTTAGAGGATAAATGCATTACACCAGGATACGGTTTAATTGAAGAATCAGTTAAAGCAATACCACGTTTATTTAGTAAGGAAGATCCATTCATGATTCCAGCTCAACATATTGACGTTCGTTCACTAAATGGAGGTTGCATCACTCCTGAAGGTATTAGCTCAGATTTCTCATACGCTCTTCATAATGTTACAGATGTTGTGTTAACATTTCCGAAGAATGCAATGCAAAGAACGGTTTTAGAAAATCCAATGCTTCGAGGTCTTCAGGTCACTATAGATTCCAGAAACTTCCCCGATCAAGCGATGACCACAGTGGGCGACATATTCTTTACACGTATGCTTCAAGCTTCTGATTTAGATGGAGTGAATGAATGCACGAAGAATACGAGGACTCATTAACTAGACCACTGAATGATGATGATGGCACACCATTAGCTAGAACATGGAAAGACCAAACTTCATTCTTATGCACTATTCCAGTTCAACGTGATGGAGCGGGTATATTCTTTGATGGATTAGAAACTTTCAACTCACAAGTTACAGTACAAGTGAAAGCTTATCCAATCATTCAGGGTGAAAATGACACTTACTGTTCAAAGTGACAAATCCTCCTCAGGTTTGGTTTACTAGGACTACATATTGGACATGGACACCGGATGAAGGTTTGAAATATCATCCAACAGGTACACCACCGCAGTATAGAAGTTCATATGATGAAATATTGATGAATAGAAATGTTTAAAATTATAAATTTATTTTTGATTAAATGGATTTAAATTCATCCACCCCTTATGAAGAATTAGCAGGAGTATATAATACATACGTAGATGATATGATTAATGAAGCATTGAGTGATAATAGAAATGCTCTATCTAAGGAAAAATTAATGAAAATTCCATATTCTGAATGTTACTTAAATTCAATCACTGCAGCAATTGGTAAACAAAATAAAGGTAAAACATTAACGATATTAAAACAAATTATCATTATTGCTAACACTTCACCCTATTCACATGTGTTAATTTATATCAACCGTTCAGGTTCACCTTCAGATGATACATTTGAATCTTTAAAGCATTTAATCAAAATTCCAATTATTTATTTATCACAAGAAGAAGCAGAAGATTATTTAAAAAACTTTGTAATGTATAAAGAATTATATAATACAATCAAGAAGCAAGGATTAGAGGATAAAATTATTGATAAACAACGGGATGAATTATTTGAAACACTTTCTATTTCAAATTTTGATAGAGAATTTTTGCATTCACTCATTTTTCTAGATGATGCGGTGAAATCAAAACTAATAACTAATGAGAAATCATATTTTAATCAATTATTAACTCAATGTCGACACATTCAGTGTTCATTCTTCATGGCTGTTCAATACTTTAAAGCATTAAGCACAAACATTAAATCAAACCTGTCCACCCTTTTCATTTTCAGTGGTTTTAGTCGTCAACAGTTGAACGTTATGCTTTATCAAGTGAATTTACCAATGAGCATTAATGAACTTTACACACAATATCAACAATTAGGAGAACATGGAAAAATAATAGTTGATTTAAATAAAGGTTCCATTAAATTCGAATAACTTTTTATAATTAATTTTTATTTTTTATTTATAATTAAACATGACAGAAATTGCAAATCTTCTACAGGTTCCATTAAAACAAGGAACAAACAAAAAGGGTGCATATAATAGAACTATGAAAGTTCCAGACGGAATGAAAGAATTAGTCCACATTGTTGCCGGTCTTCAAAAGGATGTTAAACAAATGAGAAACGTTTTAACATTACCAGAAGCTCAAGCATATGCCAAACGTCACGGACCAAATTGGGAAGCACACGAAGCAGACATTACGGGTCCAAATGGAAAACCTGATGGAATAAATGAAGTTTTCGTTACTGATGGTCAAGGAAATATTAAAGTCATAAATGGGTATAAATTAACAATGACGGATTATCCTAAACGTAAAGCATATAATGAACATTATCCTATGCAATTTGATGAAAATGGAAAAGCTGTTAAACAATACATTGGAGAAGGTGAAAATGGTCCAATTAATTCATACCGTCATAATCCATATTCTTACTTCAATGAAGAATTAAATGCTATTGAAGAGGGACCGGATGGATTACCACGATATTCTAACCAGTTTGATGGTCAATATGCAAATTTAAGACCTGAAATTCCAGCTAAGAAATTCTTTAAAGTTGCTTTATTCGATCCAGTTTTCGCAAATGTTAAAGATGAACTTAAACAGCAATTCCAACCAATTATAGTAGCAAGAATTGCATCAGGTGCTTTATCTCAAGCATTCAAAGATTTAATTAAGAAACCATTATATCAGCAACGAGGTTTAACTTATGATTTAGTTAAGGAATCAGATAAAAGAAAATTTGAGAAATCAATGATTATAAGAATGCAATTAATGAATATATTCGGTCTATTAATTTCGATGAAAATGCTAAAAATCAACTTCATGAACAAATACAGGAAATAATAGATTCAAAAGTTCCAGCAAAATAAAAGTTTAAATATATTTTTTTATTCGAATATAAATGAGAAGACGTTTCACTAGTCAAAAGAACACTAACGCAAAAGCAGAGATTACGGTTGGTTATAACGTAAATGATGATAAATCACGAATTATTCAAAATGTTAAAGTTAATGTTAGTCCTGAATTAACAAGGTCAGCAACTCAACCAAATTTATTAACTCGTGACTTACCGAAGAATGAGGAAGAGAAAATAAAGAAGATGGAGACCCAATCATTTTATCTGAACCTGGTAAAGAACCTGTTGAAATTCCCACTTATCCAACATACCCCACCACTTGATAACCCAGGAATCTACGATTACAGTCGCAATGCGCCATATAAAATAGACATTAATTCTGAATTAATGAAAATTTACCGTGATATCATAACTGATAATTATGATTCAATAATAAATTTAATTGACCAATCCGGTTTAATTATTTTACCTTATGAATCATTAATTCACATTATCGCCATTCTTTGTGATGTTCAAGATTCAGACGTGAAGATTCAATTTTTCATAGATGATGAGGTTTCATGCTGCGGAACAGTTGCAAAAATAAATCCTATAAAGGATATTAGCACAATTAAGATATCAAAGAACGGAACAACAACTGAACTTCATTTAACATATAATGATATTTATAATAAAATAGTTGATGAATATAAAATATCACTTGAAAAATTCTTTGTTAAGGCTATTTAATATTCAAGCATTAACATTATCGAATAATAATCCTTTGAATCATAATCGATAATAATTGACCTTTCACCAGTTTCTATCGTTTGTTTTATTTCTTTTTGTTCCCCACTATCCGGATCGGTCATTGTAATTGTTTTTGTTATAGTATCAGCTTTATCTTTAACTTCAATCTTTTTTCCATCGGGATATTTAAACCAAAATTCCAAAAATTCGATATTGTCAATCTGTTCATATTTTAATCTATCAATTACATTTTTAATACCATCTGAAAATCTTATGAAATGGTCATTATATGGGTTTGATTGAACTAAATTTGAATGAAGTGAAATATAACCTGATGATGAATATGACATCGACTCATATTTTCTGAAAACACTAAAATTTATAACATGAATGAATTTCTTATTCGTTGAATTTATGAATTCTTGAGGTAATCTTATTCTAGTTTTATTTATCACTGGAAAATAACGCTTTACCATATTTTTAATCGTAATAAAAAAATGTCAATTATCAATATTATTTCGAATAATAACTGTGAATTAAATTTAACAGTTAGCGGAATTTATAATGTTACTCTCGTTTCTGTGAGTGGTAAATTTAATCCCATTCTTTTAGACCCTTCAGATTATATATCATTTATTAAAGATGACCATGAGCCGCATAGCGGCGGGGTCGTAGACCTAAAAACGTATGATATGTATATAAATAATGTGATAACGAAATGGGATATTAACATGATTTTAAGTTATTTAAATGAATCATTTATCGTATGGTATGAAGAAAATTTTAAATCAAAACCTGATAAACTTTTTGAACTTGATGAAATAAATAACCTTATTAAATTTCCGCTGAAAATTAAATTTTGTACTCCTCGTCTTCGTTCATTGTTGGGGATATTAAATTTTGAAAAAGATGTTGGGGATGTTTTGTATTCTGACACTGGTTCTAATTTCATTTTAATCAAATGTGATAAAGTTAATACCCCAATGAGATTTTCACATCAAACATTAGACCCTAACTCTTACCCATCAATACAAAACATTTTATCCATCAACTTAAACATATTTTCTTTATCATATCCGTTTCAATTATCCGGGAATTCATTTATTCTTCATTCAAAAGATTTATCAAATATTAAATTTAGAATAACTGACCTATTTGATTGTGATTTAGAATTTATGAATGAAATATTATGGCAATTTCAAATAGAAAAAATAGCTGATGAGATAACAGATTAAATATTTATTTTTAAATCGTAATAAATGATTAAACAACAGCAACCACAGACCATTACATACGCCATATATGCATATAATTCAAAGACGGCAGAACAAACGCAAATGTTGAAATATGGAGATTTGGAGATAGTATTGAAAAATGACCATTTCGAATTCGTTTGCAAAGGTGGTGCAGTGATATCAAATATAAAAGAAATTTTATTTATGAATTCAAAAATTAAAGGAATAACGGATGATATAACATCAATTCCACCAGAAGAACAAAGATATTACGCATTAAATGCATTTCCTAAAGTTTTGAAGATTGGAAGATTTAATTTAAATGAGGAATTCATAAAAGGTTTCCTAAATGACATAATGAAGAAGGCAGATAAGGAATATGTTAACGATGAGTTAGCAAAGAAAGCAGATAAGGGATTTGTGGCTAGTGAATTAATGAAGAAGGCAGATAAGGAATATGTTAATGAAAAAGATAATGAAATTATAGAAAGGGTTGAATGGTATCATGAACGGACATCGAAGATTCTTAAAACTAAAGCTGATACAGGATGGGTTTCAGAATGTTTAGACCTTAAAGCAGATATATCATTTGTTAACGATGAGTTAGCAAAGAAAGCAGATATATCATTTGTTAACGATGAGTTAGCAAAGAAAGCAGATATATCATTTGTTAACGATGAGTTAGCAAAGAAAGCAGATATATCATTTGTTAACGATGAGTTAGCAAAGAAAGCAGATATATCATTTGTTAACGAAATATACCAAAGTTTAGTTGGAACAAAAAATATTGAAACTATTGTTGGCGACTTTTCTGTCAATGAAGAAAACAAATATTTTAGATGGGAGTTTGTACAGTCCTTAAGAAATGGTATACGGTATAAACTCATTCCGAAAAATAACAATGAAATGTATGTAGGCTATATAAAGAATAATGGCACACAAGTTAAAGTTCCATTAGACAACAACTGCTACTTAAACTTATATGGAGACGAACAAAAGAAATATTTAAGAGTTTATGAAATGGTAGATATGACATTGTCTAACGTAGCTCCAGCACCGTATTATTATGACTATGGTGTTGACGCACATGTAGACCCAAAAAAGCAAACATTATATTTAGATTATTATAGATATAAAAGATATAATGCAATAGAAAAAACGAGAATAGTATACTATTATGAAGATGACAAAAATAAATATTATAGTCAAGATTTTACATACCCTGAAAACATAAGATTATATTATAAAAAATATTCTGACACAAACCAGAAGAAACCCGAAATAGTTACACTATATTTTAAGTTCAAAAGAGACAATCCTATAATATCTCATATGTTTGATTTAATGAACCCAGTAGGTTCTATTTATACATCTATGGATGTGAGAGGTCCTCAAGCAATGTTTGGTGTTGGTGCATGGGAACAAATAGTCGACAGGTTTTTGTATTGTGCAAACTCTTCAAAGGAAACAGGGGGAAGTAAAACAATTACGGGTGAAAATTTACCTGCACACAGTCACTACATAGATTTAAGCACATCTCAAGCAGGTTGGCATAAGCATAGATATTGGGATTGGTCAGGAATGACAAAAGGTAAAGGATATGATGTTAAAGATGATGTTAAATTTGCCATAAATTGTTACTGGAGTGACACTCAGGGAGAAGGAAACCATACACATCGCGTTTCAGGATATACACAAACAACGGGACAAAGTAAAGAATACATGCCACCATTTATGACTGTATTCGCATGGTATAGAGTTCAATGAACGCTCAATGTTTGTGAAACAAACTTTAGGAGCTCCAAAAGAGCAAACGACATAATTTAAATTTTTATTTTAGTATAAATGAAGATTCTACCATATGGTGTTATTGGAAGAGATAAAGATGGAAACCCAATATTTGATCCAAAGTTAAAATTAAAGTTACTGACAAGACAACAACTTGAAAAGTTGCTGAAACCAAAACAGAATGAAAAATGAGAAAATGAGAAAATGAGAAAGAAAAAAAATTTAAATTATGCAATTTTATTTTTATCATAAATGACCAAATTAATTAAGCCAACTATTTCTAAATTAATGATACCAATGAAATCATTTCATGGAGTACTTATCCCAGGTTCTTCACAATTAGCCGGGGCAAGTGTTGTGACTCAAGGTGGAACATTAGCGAATCCATTCAAATTATTAACTAAAGATGAACTTAATAAAATGATGATAAAATAACTGATAACAAAATTTTATTTCACTACTACCATAAAAACAGGTGAGAAAACAGGTGAAATCTCACCTCTTCACCTAAATTATATTTTTGGTCAAAGCTTCCACGAAAGAAAAGATTCCTCATTCGCTAAGGATTCCAAAAATGAAAAAATCGTTGATTTCGGCTGAGAAAAAACAGCAAAAACCCTTCTTCCACGGGAACAAAGAAATAAAGAAGAAATAAAGTAAATTTTTATTTATTCCCGTGGAAGATAGAGCACTTTTATGATACTTTTTATTCACGACAAACAAGACAAACAAAGAAAATAAGAAAATACAGCGCTGTCGCGGTTCGAACCACAGACCTTGACCCCTCCATAACACCACCTTTGACCACTGTGCTACGTAGCCTGTCGACATAAGATATTATAAATTACATATTTGACGTAAATTTATTTCCCAGTTCTTCAAAAATAATTAATTATTGAATAACCGAAGGTGCTACCATGCTACCATGTGCTACCAGGTCATTTAACTTCTATGAAAAAGTGTGACAACACGACATTTTGACAACAACACAGGATTAATGAGGAAAGTAGTTATGAATTAATTATTGAATAACCGAAGGTGCTACCATGCTACCATGTGCTACCAGGTCATTTAACTTCTATGAAAAAGTGTGACAACACGACATTTTGACAACAACACAGGAAATAAACTTCTTCATCGTAAATGTTTTTGTCATGACTTCTTCATCGTAAATGTTTTTGTCATGACTTCTTCATCGTATATGTTTTTGTCATGAATTTCCTTAAGACAGAAAAATAAAGTTAGTTATTAATTATTTTTATTTTTTATTCCTAGATAAATGACAGCAACAAACAACAGCAACTATATCGTTTCTGATGAAAAAGTTATTGATTCATTAGCTGAGGAATTAGTTGTGGCAGAAACTAAAACCCTCAACGAAAGAATTGGTGAAAACAGGATTGATTTACATAACTACCTCAAACATGATGGAGGAAGAGGAAGGAAAACTGGTATGGCTTTATTAGTAAATAAAATTTCAAATTTAACGATTATAGATGTTGATATCAATAAATCGTACAATGATGAACTTAAAGAAACAGTTAGAAAAGACATTTTATCAAAACTTTCGGATAAAGATGTTATCGTTAAAACCGCTTCAGGAGGTCTTCACATTTATTGCAACACTAATTTCTTCTATTCAACCTCGAACAGAATGATTAAATGTTATTCCTGCAATGATTACGATATTGATATAATGACTTCTATGGATGATTCAAAGCGTTCTTTAGTAGTTATGGCTGATTCAAGAGTTCGCAAGAATGCAACAGAACCAATCAAAACATACTCATTCATTCGTGGAAGTTATGATTCAACATTAACTAGAACAGTGAATGATATATTAAATGATTTGAATATTAAGGTAAGAGTTGAACAGAAGAATGAAGAAATAAAGACTATCATGAATGAAAACAAAGATGTAAACATTGACGATAAACTAGCTCAGAGCATAGTTGATGGCATCTGTGATTTTGAAGTACATAATGACGGTGGAAACATGAATTTAGAAAAAGAAGTTACATTATTCACACTGTTTCAAGCAATTAATTCATTACCTAATCATTTAATTAATGAAGCATACGATAACGTTTATAACTTCTGCAGTTTAACAGAAAATGCAAAAAGTAATTTTGAAAAAGCACGTAGTAGATATGCACATTTAATGACTTCTCCATTTGTTTTGGTGAAGATTCTAAAACTATACCAAAAGGAATATTATGATGAATACGTTTTACCTTTATTACGTAAGCCAAAAATAACATTTGATATCAAACTTGATGACTCGTTTTTGATAACAGATATTAGACGCAAGGCTGAAAATCATCAGTATAAAAACAGTTCTGAAGTAATTGAGGATTTATCACGTGTAATCCGTTTTGTAGATTGTGGAAATAAATATTTCATTCAAAAGGACTATAATATCCACGACAAAATGAATCAAATATCATTCGTTCTTCAATCAAACATGAAAGAGTCACTTAAAATGATTAAATTATTTAAAGAAGAAGGTAAAACCATAACAGCATGGGATGTACTACTAAATCAATTATCCTCATTAACCGTTAAGGGTGTTTGCTTTAAATCTGATTCTCCAGATGTTTTTCTCAACGTTTCAAGGTTATAAATACAACGTTCTCGAAAAACCAGATTACTCAAAAATTGAGATGTTTATGAATTTCATTAAAGAAGCCATTTGTGATAATAACGATGAAGTGTATAAATACCTTCTCGGCTGGATTGCATCAATGATTCAACATCCCGGAATCAAGAATGAAACAGCAATTATTTTGAAAGGACTTCAGGGAACAGGTAAAAACAGATTTACAGACATTATTTCTGAACTTCTCGCTGGTTATTCATGTAAAAACATTACCGAAATAAGTGAGCTAACGGGTAATTTCAATTCAGTAGTTGAAAATAAAATGCTTCTTATACTTAATGAACTCAAGAATGTGGGTGAAGATAGACTCGCAAACTTCAACGCTTTGAAATCAATTATTACGGATAATGAGATTAGAATTAATGAAAAGAATCAACCCAGAAGAACAGCTCAGAATGTTGCAAACTTTATTTTCGTAACTAACAACGTCTACCCTGTCAAAATTGAAGTTGGAGACAGAAGATACGTAGTTTTAAGAGTTAATGGTAAATTCAAGGGTCAATTTGATTACTTCAAGAATTTAATGGATTCATGCACTAAGGAATTTTATGATAATTTACTAACATATTTTATGCAATATGACCTTTCATCATTTAATGTACGAATCATTCCGATGACTGAAGCCAAACAAGATTTAATTGAATTATCATCAAATCCTTTAGATGTATGGATAAATACACATTATGATGAATTGTGTGCAGGTATGACGTGTGAAAATGCTCTATTCTGCAAACCATCAGACATGAAAGACAAAAACTTTCAAATGAGTATTAAGGATAAATGTGATAGGAAACATAGAAGAATAGACGGTAAACAGATATGGTATTATGTTTTGAAAGAAGAAATGAAAGGATTATATAAACAGGTTGAACCAAACGATAATGAGGATTCATTTACTGATGATGAAATACCTGTAAATGAGCCGCTAAGCGGCGAGACCTGAAGGTCTAGCTTTATAAAGTATGATTGGAATTTATTTTTGCATTAATCCTGAACTGTTGTCAAAATGTCGTGTTGTCACACTTTTTCAGAGAAGTTAAATGACCTGGTAGCACATGGTAGCATGGTAGCACCTCCAGTTCTTCAATAATTAATTATTTTTTGAATAACCTAAAAACATTAATGAAAACATTATTTTTGGGTCATTTACACTCATTACGATGAAGTCATGACAAATCATTTCCGTGACTGTTGTCAAAATGTCGTGTTGTCACACTTTTTCAGAGAAGTTAAATGACCTGGTAGCACATGGTAGCATGGTAGCACCTCCAGTTCTTCAATAATTAATTATTTTTTGAATAACCTAAAAACCATGAGACTTTGTCTCCGGACTCTTTGAGTCACTTAACGATAAAATAAGTGATAACAAATTTTTATTTTTATCATAAATGAATACCCCACAAGCTCAAAATTTACCACGAATCATAACAAGGGAGGAAATGATAAAAATGATGCAAGAACATGTTAAAAATAACAAACCACTAAAATTGAGAAAATGTGGTTATGCAGTAATGATGGAAAGAGAGATGTTGTCGAAGAGGAATAAAAATTAAATTTGGATTGAGTTTAAAAATTCATCTTTATTAAATTCATCTCTTCCAATCAATTTATTTATTCTATTAAATTCTTTTATTTTTGCTTCACTCAGTTTAAGGATTGAACGGTAAGTTTCTAATTTTTCGATTATTTCTTTCCTCTCTTTATCGTTTTCAACCCCACCACATTGTGGCTTCTTTTTGTAATAACATATTTTTGATTTAATTCTGTTTAGTTTCTTTTTATATTCATCGTCTGGACTCTTGACTGCTTTGTTGTCACTCATTTTCTTACGAAATAAAAAAATTAAATATTATTTAAATATAATGGAGTAATAAAATAAATCGGAATTTCTATTAATTTATTGTCAACTTCAACTAATGCATTGCCGTTAATATATCTAACAAATTCAGCTATTGTGTCAAATCTTCGTCTTCTTTTTGTCATTGATTCATCAGTTTTTCCATAATCGAGATGAATTAAAACTTTATTTCCTTGTTTAAAATTCATGAGCCCTGAATTAATTTGTTCACGTTTAACATCATTCAACCTTTCCATTTGCTTTCTAATATATTCCCATTCTTTTGAAATATCATTTTTCATTTCCACCGGTTTCATGTTTATTGTTCTATGCCATGTATTATTGTAATAATATACTAACTGTTGTATGATGGAGTCATGATTTCCATCCCAGTATATCTGACCGTTAACCCCTAACGCATCTCTAAGAGTTCTCATTACCGCATCAACTATTTTATTATGAAACGTATATGGAGAGGATGAAAAGTAAAAATTAATTTGTGGGAAATAATGAGCCATAGCTGCCTGAAATCCTTTATCACCATCACCCCTTATATTATCTACTCTTTCATGATCTAGTAAGTATTGAATAGCTCTTCTTGTTTCCTGTTCTGTTTTCCCTTTCACCGGAATGCAATATAAATATCTGGTGTTAATGTTAATGGCAAATAAATAAGTAACGTTTCCTCTTGAATATTCTAAATGATCGATTTCGTATGAATATGGATATGGTGCAAATGAAGGGCGACTAAATTTTTCCTTTAACGGTTGAATTTTTGAGTCAGTTGGTTTATTTAATATTTTGAAATCCTTTTTAAAATCTTTTTGCTTCTTAAATGTTTGAAATGGATATAATAAAGTGAATGATGAAGGATTAACTGAAGGAGGAGGCGGTACTGTCGTTGGAGGGTTTGGTGTTGCAGGTGGTTTAATTTTATCTGCTTTGATTTTGGATGATGAAGTTTTGGAATTCATTCCTTCCTTCATTAATTCTGGATGTATTCTATTCATTTGTTTTAAATATGCTGTATATAAAGGTTTGATATACTTTCCCGCTTCGAGTTTATGTTGAAGGATGAATTCCAAAAGTTGATCTTCATTTAAAAGTCGGGCTGAATATGGTTTAACTAATGAATCATAAATTAAAGCTTGTGCTTCATTTATGGTCTGAAGGACCTGGGTGTTTTGCACCTTTTGTTTTTGCTCCTTTTGCTTTTGCGGCTCAGGATTATATAATTTATATAATTCATCAATATCTTCTTCTGTTAATACTTTATTTTTGAAATCTTTCAACTGTTTAAGTTGTGATTTAGTTTTTTCCTTTGTATATTCATTATTTTTAATTTTGTCTTTAATTTTAGAAATTATTTTATCATGATATTTCAAAACTGCATTTTTATAATATGGATAATAATATTCCATATCATCACCCGTTATATTTTTATTATGTTTTTGGAGATATGCTTTTAAATCGTAATAATTAAGAAAATTTTGATTAAGTACTAAATCATCAATTAAATTTTTTAAATCTACGCTATTCATTTATATAAAAATAAAATAAGTGTTTTAAGGGTGCCCGCCTCTTTGAATCATAGTATCAAAACCATTATTTACGGTTCCTTTTGTCTCTTCTGTGGCATTTTATTAAATAAATGGCATACAACATCCATTTTCACAACATACAGCCTTAGTGTGTGCTCCTGTTAATGCAGTCTTACCGATTGTTAAGCGAGTCATTGACCCGTTTTTAAGTTGTAAATTAATATTCTGACCATCAAATATCACTTTATCATTTATTATATCCAAATAATTTTTAGGTGTTAATTGCTTATTTTGTCTTAAACTAACGCCTTTCATTTTTTGTGCAATCTTTTTAAAATCACTTCCATCAATTGAACCGTTGAATGAAGTATAACACTTAGGGCATAAAGCAACCATGTTATCACCTTGTTTCTCAATTGCTAAACCCAATAACTTCTTCTCATGTGCTTTTTCTTCAGCTTTATTCTTTAATTTAGGTTTAAATTTCTCATTAAAACAAAAGAAATCAAAAGGTGCGAATTTGTAAATGTTTTTATCATAAAATTTTTTATCGGTAACAATTGCTTGAAATGCTTGAGTGTTAGGAAGATTTGGGTCGCCAGCGATTGCCCAATAAGATGAATCAGTATCACCTTCAATGAAATGAAAACGATTAACATCCATGCATTTATACATAAAATCATAAATGAAAACCAAATACCAGTATTTTGCGTTATCTAAAGTGAAGAATGCCTCTTGTAAACATGTATCACATCTATAAAATCTATCTTTAAGCATCACTTGATACGTATCTTCACCTATTTCTCTTATGTTTTTAAACTTATTTGACATACATGCAACGCGTGCCTTCTGTGCATTCATTATTTTAGTCTTTGCGTAATTTTGTGTATTCATTGCATCGTAACCATATGATCCATTAAGTGAAATCTTGCAAAATAAACTTTTTCCTTTATTTCCTTCTAATTCAGCCTTTTGTCTTTCGTTCATAAATTCATTCGCAAATTCATTAAAACAAGTATTTTTCGTAAATGTTAAAATTGATTGAATGTCATCAATGATAAAATGAAATCTGTCTATTAGATACCAAAGATAATAAGAAGAAAATGGTTGATATTGGTTGTGTGTTGATGCTAACTGAGTTAATTTCCTCTGTTTCTGGTCAACTGGTAGATTGTTTGATTTCATGTAATTATACATAAAACCACCAATTGTTTTTTCATCTGTGATAATATCAAAGTTTCTTATTATTGGTAAAAAGTTTATGTAATCATTAATGTATTTTTCATCAATGTGACCCTTTACTTCAGCCACGAATAAAGTATTTTTCTTCTTAATTATTCCCAGTGCTTTTGCTTTCTTTGTTGCTGTATCACAAATGATAACACCATTCAATCTTCCCGGCATATACATTTTATGGTCAGTATATTGAATGAAATCATGAGGATTAGATGAAAATGATGAAGGATATAATGAATTAAAGTCAACACCAACGAAATGAGTCATAATGTTGGAAGTGTCCTCATTTGATACAGTTTTAGTTTCTGGATTATATGAAAGTTTATTAATGTGCGTGATTCCTTTAAGATTTACTCTATGTTGAACATTTGATAGACCACCAGTAATTCCATTACGGAGGATGTGATACGCTTCAACCGAATCTAAAGTCATTGGTAAATTATTTTTTAATGTATAATTTCTTAAATTGATTCTTAAACGTTGAACATCTTCATCTTTATTTGATTTTACGACATTGCAATAACAACACATTAACTGACAATTTTCTTTGGTATGTGGTTTTTCATTATCGATTCTATCTAATGTTGGTTTATTAGCATATGTAAACGCTTTACCACACATTTTGCATTTAGATGAAAGGATTAAATCGTGATAGTATTGAAAATCATCCATTGAAACATTATTTTTAGTATCCCTTTCTGCTTTTTCATCTTGTTTCTTATATGATTCAATTTTATATTTCCAATACTTTTTCGTTAATTCAAAACTTGATTCCACATTTTCTTCTTCTGGATATGTTTCGTTAGGATTGAAGTTCTTATATGCTAACGCGTAACGAATCATTGATGCATTCGATGATAAAGAAAGATTATGAAGCATGTCAATTTTATAAACAAATGTTTCTTCAATAATTTTATCAATTGGGTCAATCATAATTTCAACGTCTTTATTGCAATAATGAATAAAATATTCTAATCTATTCTCAAAATTTTTAGCATCGTTGAGATATATTTGATAATCTGAATCGGATATTGTTTCTTGAGTTAATGCTGAATAAAATGAATCTTGAGTGAATGGTTCCACTTTATATAATTCATCTTCGTAATTCTCCCATGTGATGAATTGATAAGGGAAAAAGGATTTAACACGTGATTTATTGTTTCCGAAATCTTGAGTGAATTGGTCTAATGTTCCACCCGCTATATAATTTCTGATGTCAATAAATCTTAATTCATATGGACAGTTTGTTTTCTTTACAATGATTTGCTTAAATTGAGAAGAAGAACCCAGCATTGATTTTATTTTCCATTTTGCAGTGTTTAAATCACG